CTTTCGGCAGGGGTGGGTCATGGCATTGTTCTCCGCCAGGGTTGACCTCCCAGCCTCTCTTGCTGCCCCCAAGGCAGGCGATGGAACCACCAGAAGCCCAGATGCTAGTTCACCTCCTTCTTCCTTGTGGGAAGTAAGTTTCTGAGTCTTCTCCATTAGGACTTCCTGAAGCCAGTCTGCAGGCACCCTGGGGGCCTCTCACACCACGGCAGTCCTTCTGGTGCCAGTCCACACACATCCCTTCAGATGACCCTAGGCCCACCATCTTGGTCCTCAGTTTTGGGTCCAGTTGAGGTGAGGTTACTGTGTGGTAGGGGATGCCCAAGAAAGGGTTAAGTTGCCAGAAGCAGAGTCCGGCCCTTGGGTTTGCTCAGCCAATCAGAGTCTGTCCTGATGAGGTAAAGCTTCTATCCTGGGTGGCATTGGTTGAGCTGGCCAGCCCCATCTCCTGCTGGAGGGAGCCGTAAGGGTGTAGTTTCTGTGGAACCAGACAGAACTGGAATTAGCTTGCTGTAGACTCAGGCCTGGGCTGCCCGACTCCAGAACCTGCCCCTGCTCCTTTCTAAGGCGCTGAGACAGACCCTGGCATCTCCAGGGCCCTGTCTAGCTTCCCAGGGGAGATCACAAGGTGGCACATCTCAGCATCACATCTGGAAAAAGTCGCACAGCCAGAACGGACCCAGCAGGCCTCAGTTTCCCTGCCTGAGCCCTGGCATACAGCAGCTGGTACAGGAAGTGACGTGGAGCGGTCGCCACAGGTGCTCAGAGCAGCAGCATTCAGCTTCAATAAACAAAGCCACTAGAGGAATCTTCCTATACGGACATGACTTTATTAATCATCATAATTCACAGAGTTCTTCTCGCAAGCCGCTTTGCTAAGCACATGGCATGGGCCTAATCCTCACGAAAACCCTATTAATCCATCTACTTTGCTGATGAAAAAACCGAGTCTCAGAGTGGTTCAGGGTCTCGCCTGAGGCCGCAGAGTGGGAAAGTTTGCATCTCCCTGCTATGCTATTTTTGAATGGCCTGTTGGCATATCTGTCTCCACCGCTGGACTGTGATCACCCCAGGAAAGAGCATGACAGATTCATCCATGTATTGCCCCCATCATGCTCAGGGCGTGCCCTGAGAACAGGGTAGAACAGGCTGTAGCGCACCCCCTTCTCATCCCTGATGGCTCAGTCAAAAGCCTACCCTCCTCAGACGCTTCCCACACGGTGGGCTCAGCGGTGGTTCACGGAACCGACGGCAAATGGGCAACCACGACCCCACTAGATGGCTCTTAGGCTCCACCAGGCACCGCCTTTAATGCTCAGCTTGCCCCTCTGGTCCCTGTCACGTCTGTCTCATTAAAGGAAAAGTCCATAGGACAGGAATCCGGTCTGGTACATCTCCATGACCCCAAAGGGCCTAAACAAGAGTCTGGCACTTATTATGTATATTTGATTGAACAACCAAAGCCATGTCTGCCCTGCTCGCTTAGAACCTCCGTGGCCACAGGGAAGAAAGACCACCTCTGAGTTCTTCTAGATGCAATGCATGGCAGCACACCCTGTGCAGGCAGTTTGGTGAAAGTTATCCCAGGCAGGAGAAGAAAGGAGGGTTCCCTCCAGGGATAGATAATGAAGCCAGAGAGGGCACAGATAATGAGGAAGAAGGGCGTGGAGAGAGGAAGACAGAGGCTGGGAGAGCGGAGGGCGTGGGCCATTTATTTGTACAGAAAGATGGAGAGCATGCAGGCCAGCCCCAGCGGCCTCCTGCCTCCTGTGGTCAGCTAATGGTGAGCAAGAAAAAGGCAATGGATTCCCCAGAGAAGAAATACAGTCCAGCCGAAACCGGTTTGACTCAGTGGTAGAGCGTCGGTCTGCGGACTGAAAGGTCCCAGGTTCGATTCCGCTCAGGGGCATGCACATTGGTTGCGGGCACATCCCCGGTAGGAGGTGTGTAAGAGGCAGCTGGTCGGTGTTTCTCTCTCATCGACATTTCTAGCTCTTTATCTCTTTCCCTTCCTCTCTGTAGAAAATCAATAAAATATATTTTTTTAAAAAAAGAAAAAGTAAAGAAAGAAATGCAGTCCACCTGCTGCCGGCCTCATTGTGTCCACCCTCCTGCAGCTGGAACCCCCACTCTGCAGTCCACAGGCCATAGGCACATCCAAGACAGCGCCAAAAGCCTGTGCCTGCCCCATCCCACCTTCAAGAGAGAAACAGACCTGGCCCCTCAGACAACAGACTTCACCGGCAGTCAAGTAATGCAGCATCTTTAGAGTATAATCCCCTACTGGAGACCGGATGATCCCAGATCCTCGGCACTCATGAGTGACCAGAATCGCAAAGCAGGAAGATCTGGGAAGAGCCACCAGACCGATGCACCGACGAAACCCCTGAGGCCACGCGGGAGGCGGTTGCCAGAGGACACACCGCAGGCAGTGCCTCTCCATCCTCCTTTGACTCCATCTTGCTCCAATTCCCTCCGTCCTTCCCAAAGAGCATTTCACGTTCAGACCATCTCACATTTATGATGTTTTGCAAATTTGGGGAAAACTTTGCAGTCTTTGAAAGGTGTCAGCAAATACTAGTGAAAGGAATGAGGTTGAGAAGGGGCAGCATAGGAATTTAGGGAGTTGTTTTGATAACCCCTCTTTCCCCAGAGAGGCCTTTGAGTCGGCGGGGGGGGGGCCAGGCACAGAAGGGGGAGGCGGGTGGCTTGGGCAGTGGCTTCCATTATGCAGCAGAAGGCGGAGCACTCGTAAAGACATTAAGAAAGTCCAAGCAAGAGGTCCATGTCTGAGCCCTGCTTGGCCCTCCCTCTTCTCGCTCCCCTGGAGGACAGCAACCCTCGTGGGAAGGCTGTGGCCCAGCCTTTGGCAAGAGTTCATAGTCACCGGAGGCTGCCAGGATCTGATGGAGCTGAGCACAGGGGGACAGCCTCCTGGGCTGTCCTTTAAGGTTCCTAAAGCCCTCCCACAGCTACATGGGGCTGGAGAAAACCATATTGACCAAACTTTCCTCAGGGAGCATTCAGAGGAATGAGTTGCTAAGACGCATTAGTGTGTTGGTGGGAGTGGGCAGAGTTGGGCAGCAAGACCCCCAAGGGGCCAGTCGAATAAGATGATTACACAAGTGTCTTCTAAGGAGGGTGGGCCAAGTGGGGTGCGCAAGGCTGGGGTGGGCCCAGGTCTCAGGGGAAAAGGCAATTCTGAGACCATCCCCACGGTTAGCCTCACCTTCTTTACCTTTTTCCTTCCAAGCATACAACTTGTCCATTAGACACACGTCTAAGGAGTTTTGATTTAAAGAGGAGACCAACTGTTCTGCCCAGGATGCTCTATATCTTGGTGTGGCCCAGAAGCCAAGCCTCAAAGCCTGGGGCCTTCCAGGCTCAGTCAGCCAAGCCTGCAGCCCTCTGTGCGTCTCAGAAACGCAAGCTACTTTAGTCTCCAGACTCCCCAAGGTACTCAGAAGGCTGTTGCGAATGCACTCCAAGTCCAGGAACCCTTAAGCTGGGCAGAAAGAACTCCTTCCCCCGAACCAGAAGGAGCTAAGCCCAAGACATAGAAACCAGGAGGACCTGAGTTTGGCCATGCAACATCCCAGAGGCTGCCCCAGTGAGTAGGGAGTGGCCTGGCTTCTGACTATAACCAACCCAGGATCAAGAGCTCAAGGCAGCCGGCAGCCTCCAGCCTCCAGCCTCCAGCCTCCGCGGGTCTCTGTTCAGTAAGAGAATCTGACAGCGAGAACCAGCCAGCCAGCCAGCACGCAACAAGCGGCCCTGATGGAGGTGGGGCAGTGCACTGAGTGCTACTGAGTGCCTACTGCATACCAGGCAGTGTGCTGTGAACTGTATAGGCAACATCTCCTTTAATTCCCACCACGACCCTTTGAGGGAGGAACTGTTGTCTCCCGATGAGGAGAGCAAAGCTCTCAGTATAGTGACTTGCTCAAGGTCACACCACCAGTCAGCAGCAGGTTGCCACACCCAAGTCCATGCTCTTCCCACCATCCTCCCTCATCCAAGTTATTCTCCCCCCCGCCCCCCCCCCCATAGTGTGAAACAAGATAACGGTCAGGTCTGAGGTTGTATAGTTCTCAGGTGCTCCCCCGGGCTGCACACCACTGCCCAGCCCCTTCTCCCCGACCTGCTGCCCTCAGCAGATGCCACTGCCCCCACCAGATGCCTGCTGCCATGGGCTTAACCGCTTCAGGAAGAAACAAGGCCAGGGAGTTGACAGACAGCTCCCCTCCATTATCCTCTCCTCCCCCACCGTGGCTCCTGCAGCCAACAAGACCAAATCCCAAAACGGCCAACCCTTTAGCAAGAGAAGTGCCCGAGCGACCCACAAATGGGGACATACAGCCGTGCCTTGTGGCTGGCCTCTGGTGACAAAGGTCCAGCTCCCATCATGCCCCTCCACAGGCACGGGGCCAGCTGAGGGGCCTGCTCTGAGCAGCCTCAGATGCAGTCTCTCATCTCCCCGGATGCTCCAGTTGGCCGCCCCCATCCCTAACCCCGCCCCTGCCCCAGCCCCAGCAAACTCCACTTGGCTCCAGTGGGCTGTGACCTGCTCAAACTAGAATAGCGTCTGCCACAAACATCCCCTCCCAAGAGTGTCTGCCTTGGGCCAGCGTTAAACACCAGCGTGCTGCGCCTGACACAGCTCGCTGATGGCAGAGGGGCGCCACATGCCTGGCAGCAGCAGGGAGGCCAGTCCAAATTAGACCCTGCCATGGGCAAACCAAAGCACAGAGCCGAGCATGGATGGGTCGTGCTCAGTTTGGCTCTGCCACTCTGCCCGAGCAACATGAAACCCAGTCAGTAGCCCAGCAAGGTGCCAAGGGGCAGAGACATGCAAGCACAGGCCTCCCTGCCAGGAGCTCGCCGTCCAGATGCAAGTCCTGAGCTGAGACTGGTCCCAAGCTCCGTTCGGAGGCTCCGGGGTCCGGGCCCCTGCGGGGAAGCCAGGCAGCCGGGGCTGCAGCCACAGGCGACACCCTTACCTTGCTCTGCGGGGGCGAGGCCGCCAGCTGTTGCTGCTTGGCGATGTTCTCTGACAGGCACCAGCACACTCTCTTCTTCTGCTCCTGCGAGTGCGCCTCCAAAGTGAATAAGCACTCTGCCTTCTGACGTCAGGGAAAACAGAGAGAGGGACGGTCAGAGCTGCTCCCTGGTTCTGGGGGCTCCCGGGCCCGAGCCCATCCCTGGGCTCCGGAGGGCGAGGCTGCAGCAGGGCGGGGAGTGCCCACTAAAAGCCACAAATGCGCACGAATCCCCGGTGGCATCGAGGCAACCAGAAGAGGGAGCAGGGCAGCTGGCTCCGGGGCCTGCTGGCGAGCCTTGTGCCCACAGGTCGGGGGAAGGGAGGGAGGCAGTGGCTCCCAACACAGTGGAGGCCTGTGGAGAGCCACAGAACAGAGGTGGTGAGGTCACCGCCGGGGACGGGCAGCACAAAGCAGCAGCTGGGAGAGCACGTGGGTCACCCAGAGGGCCACGGTCTTTGCCCTTCTGATGCTCTGTGGAGCCAGGACTCCCCTCCCCCAGCTCCCAGGACCCCCTCTCCCACCCAGGGCACACTCGTCTAATCGCCAAGCCACGGTTAGATGAGTGATTGGATGGCACACCAACAGAAGCCTTTGGTAAGCACCGTCGGTGGCCTTGAGCTGGGTCTGATCCATGACTGCTCAGCTCCCGGGATGGCACTGCTGTCACGCAAATCCCGCTTGGCTACGTAACCTCGATCCATGCTGCAGTCTTATCTCCCTAACTGGACTAGAAACTCCTTCTTGGAAGGCCTTTCTCATCTGGACCTTGGCAAGCAATGCTCCGGTAAGCTCTGGCTCCCTGGAGGGACTTCCGGGAGGAGGTCAAAGCCAGGGCAGCCAGGCCGAGCACCAACAGGCTGCCGAGACTCAGGGAGTGAGCACCAACGAGACTCAGAATATGCTGGGCGGGGAGGGGCGGTGCAGCATGCCCAGGGCTCTCAGCCACTGCAGCACACCCCGGCCAGGAGATTAGGACCTTTCTGACTCCGCTGGAATTTGATTAAAACCTCCCAGGGCTGCGAGGAGACGGACTCAGCCAGGGAGCCAAGAGCGCACGCTAGACGGCTTGAAACAGAGAAGACAGCGTTTGTGTGCAGCCCTTCCTTGTTGTGCGGTGGGACAGGCCCGGTCTAAAGGCCAGCTTTGCCACTTTCCAGCTGATGACCTCAGGAAAGTCTGCAAAATGGGAACAACAATGCCCACGTGTCTCGGGGTTCCTGGGAGGCAAGTGAAGAGGGTCATCTCAGGCCTCCATAAACAGCAGCTATCGCTGTTGTCACTCACTCCTTCTTTTAATACAGATTTGTTGAGCACTTGCTATGTGTCAGAGATTGTACTAGGCCCTGGGGGTAAAGGAGAGAAAGGAGAAATAGAGCTCTGAGGTTGGGAGGGGTTAGGGAGGGGCAGACAATAAACAAATAAACAATATATTTACAAATTCTGACAAGGCGACCAAGGGAGAGGGCCTACTTGAGCCCTCCGGCCAGAGAAGGCCTCCCTGAACGGGCAGCAGTCCCTCGAGGCTGGAGCAATAAGGAGCCAGCAACAAAGTGCTTGGGAGAAACTGTTCTAAGCAGAAGGAACAGCCAACGCAAAGGCTCCGAGCTGGGCGGCATTATCGAACAGCCTCGAGGAACATTTTCCGCCCTGCCAGCCAACGCAACCCTGGGGAATGCCACCCTCCAGGGTGAGGACACCTCCCGTGGTAAGTGTTGTCTCGGTATAGCAATTACTCTCCAGCTCAAAAGTGCTCAGAAGCGGTTCTTCCTAGAAGCATCAGAGGAGAAAGAGAAGAAAACTCTGCCCCTGGGGCTTCTGGGAACTGGGTGGATGGGTGAGGCAATGCTATCACTTAACCACAGGTTCCCTCCATTTCCCAGAACCCCCAGCCCGCTACAGGGTAGGGCGCACCCAGCAAATGACCCCAAGATGAGCGCGAGGGGTCTGCGCCCAGTCCCGCTGTGTTCCCCTACAAGGGGAGGGGGGAGGCAGGGAAAAGGCCATCACTCCACGAAGCTGGCCCTGGCAGGGGCCTCCTGGGTTCTGCCTCTGCCTTGCTATTTGGATTTCAGCAAATCCTTTCATCTCCCCGAGTCTCTTTCAGCTCTGAAGCAGAAATTCTGTCCTAATCATCATTCCTTTTATCTCATTACCAATTTTAAAAAGCACTTTACTATCCACGCTCTCCAGAAAAGCATCTACTCTGAAGGCCCTCACTCTAGGCCTGGCCCAGTGGCTAGTGGTCTTAGACGGGTACACATCATTAGGAAGGCCTTAGCTCCTCAGGCTCCTCCGGAGGTGCTGCCTAAAGCTTTGAGGCTGGCCTGGCCAAGAGTGACAGCGCGGAGCCGGGGAGGCTGAATTGCCATCTGCCTACCTCTCTCTAAATCGGGGGCCCCAGGGCTGCCCCCATAGGATGTGAACCTGTCGCCCTTAATCCATTGTTTGATCTAACCCATCAGTTACAAGCTGATACACACGCTGCCCTCAGTCCCAGGCTCCAGGGTCAAGGGTGTAAGCGACCCTGCAGGCATTCTCACATAACTCAGTCACAGGGAGGTCAGCCAAGCAGCACCCTCTGGCCTCTTTAAAACCCCCGTCTTTCCTCACAGCCTTGTTCCTAAGTTACTATCTTTGTAAAAACGAAAACCTCTTCTCCTATTTACTATTGTTCACTTGCTTTGACAAACGTTCTCTCTTTTAATTCAGTTCTCCCCATGACCCTATCCCCGTGGTCGGCAAACTGCAGCTCGAGAGCCACAATGTGCTCTTTGGCCCCTTTAGAGTGGCTCTTCCACAAAATATCAAGGCCTGGGCGAGTTTATTTTGAAGAAGTAGCGTTAGAAGAAGTTTAAGTTTAAAGAATTTGGCTCTCAGAAGAAACTTCAATCGTTGCACTATTGATATTTGGCTCTGTTGACTAATGAGTTTGCTGATCACTGCCTTATCCCATATCGAGGAAGGGAAGGCACAACTGCTACCTCTGAGAAAACAGAGGCTCAGAGAGGACAAGTTGGATGCTCCAGTTCTCAGGAGAGGAGGCACTCAAAGTCTGTCTTCGCCTCCCCCTGAGCCTGTGACCTTGCCACATTTGTGTAACTGCGCATGTACATTCATTACAAAGAACATGAAATATTCCTCTTAACTTTTAAAAGGTCAATGACTCTAATGGAGAGGAAATGAACATAAAAAGCTCCCCTCCTGCTAGGAAGCTGACAAAGTAACAGCCACCATTTATTGAGCACTTACTGTGTGCCAGCCTCTGAGCTAAGTGCCTTGGACACAGTATCTTATTGCTTTCTCATTTAATCATTACAAAAACCTTGCAAAGTAGGCCTCATCAGCCTTGTTTCAGACATAAGTGTGTACCCTGCCCAGATCACTCAGGTAGGAAATGCAAGAGCCAAGATTTGAACCCCGGTCTTCTTAACCCCAAGTGCAGACTGAAATTAATGAAGCCAGTATCATATTCTATGTTGGTCCCTAGCCAACGTGACCTCTGACCCAATGCCCCAGATGCTCTGAAGCCAGTCGTGGGCTGCATCTGTCCCATGGACTTGCAAGTGCTGAGAGACATTGGTCCAGGAGACTAGAGACCCCATAGCCAACGACCAACGGCTGCTTAGGGCGGTGGTCAGCAAACTGCTGCTCTCGAGACACATGCGGCTCTTTGGCTCCTTGAGTGTGGCTCTTCCACAAAATGCCAAGGCCTGGACGAGTCTATTTTGAAGAAGTGGCATTAGAAGAAGTTTAAGTTTTAAAAATCTGGCTCTCAGAAGAAATTTCAATCGTTGTACCGTTGACATTTGGCTCTGATGACTAATGAGTTTGCCGACCACTGGCTTAGGGGAAACCCACCCAGGGCCTACTGCTGGGGCACAGTCAGAGCAGCTGCCACCCAGGCAATTGGGATTTTCTCAGGGCAATGGAAAACCCTCCCCAAATCCCGACTCTCTGGCCCTGGTTTCTTCTCTGGGTGCCACCTGCCTGTCAGGCAATGGAAAGAAACCACTTGCCACAGGTTCCAGCTGAGATGTGAGTTCTGAGTTCTGCATGGGATCCAGAACCACCGTGTCAAGCCTGTCCCAAGGAACAGAGCCAGCAGCCCTCTCGTCTCCTGCATCATGGACATGCCTCTCCTACACGGCAGCCCATTAAGAGAAAAGATAGGCTTCTGTCTGCCATGGGGTCGGATCACCTGGCACTTTACTGAAATAAAAGGCCCCAGATCAATACCCCTTCATCAGTCTTTGGAGCCTAGGGGGTCACAGCTCCCAGGAAACGAATGAGCAGAAATGCTTTTCTCTGGGAAAAACAAACCCAGCTTGGCAGGAAGCCCTCTTGGCACTAAAGAACGAGGAGCTTCATTTCAGAGCCTGCCGAAGGGGATGGGGATCCAGCGGGGTGAGCATGAAGGGGCCGATGCTCTGGCTCTTCCCAGCGTGGCTCGCAGCACCTAAGCTGCTCACTGTGCTCTGAGCTGATCACCCGATACCTCGGAAGCGCCTCCGCCAGCTCCTCTCAGGGCCTGGGGGATGCGCTGACACAGGGGAGGATGGCCAATGCCTTCTGGCCTCGGGTTGCCATTCTAGGCAGCCAGCATCCCCGGCTCAGTTCTGACTGTGTGCAATTCTCTGCTCTCCCCTGAATCTAACATCAAAGCACCTTCTCCCCAGAGGTCTGTTCACCGGAGGGGACTCTCTCCAAGGCCTGCACCGCTTATCTTAGCCAGGAACTGAAGGAATGATTTTCAATCACAAATGACACACACTCCTTAAAGGGGTGGCCTCCTCTCGGCCAGCCAGGGTAGACCTTGCCCCACCCACAGGGTGTGGCCAGTGTAGACTTTCCCAGGTTCCCAGGACTGCTGGGTGGGACAGACCAAAGCGGAAGCAGGGGGCAGGAATGGGTCTAATAAACCCTTGCTTGGGACAGAGAGTGCCCCTGCTCACATTAGCAGAGACACAAGTTGCGAATAAAAAACTGGCTGAAAATGGAAAAGAATTTGTAGTAGCTCTCAGGTTTTTTTTCTCCATCAAGAACCTTTTATGAAAGCCCTGGTTTGATGCTATTTTATCTCCCAAACCGTATTAAGCAATAAGCTGTTTGCCCAGTTTTCCTCAGCAAAGCCTCTGTTCAGACTGCGATAACCAGGACTACCAATCACGCTGAGCCCAAGACACAGACACGTGGTGTGTTCTTCAGCCTGTGTTATCCGGCTTGGGTAAAGGTACACATGCCAGACCTGCCCAGGACCACTTGCCTGAGGTGGGATGGAGGGGGCACCAGAACCCTGTACTAGAACCTATCCCAGGAGCTCCTCTCAAGCACCAGGTCACGGACCTCTCCTCAAAGGCAGAGAGAAGGACTCACCTCTGCCAGGTACAGCACGCAGAATTTCAGGTCTTCCGAAGGCCCTTTGGGAACAAGGAGAGAGACTTGCGTTAGCATTGGCTCCTGCCTCAGCAGTTTGTTCAGGCACAGCCTCACCCAGAGGGCTGTGAGGTACTTCCCGGAGAAAGAGAAAGCAGCAGGCCCAGGAGACAGGGAGATCTCTGGCGCAAATGCCATTGAGGAACTAGCAGGCTGAGGCACAGCTGCACGGCCTCCGCCTGCAGGTCAGCCCGACTGGAGGAATGCTGGGATCGCACCCCCACGAGGCAGCCGGGAGCCCGCTTTGGGCATCCAACGGCCAGGCTCGGGGAGCTGTCATCCACCCCAGGAGGCCTCTTCCTTTCCATGCCGCTGGGAGGGAGGGAGGGAGGGAGGGAGGGAGCCCTGATAAGAAATCTGTCATGTTTAGGGACCCCATCATTTCCAAGCTATTGCCAGCTCTTTGTGTTGCTGAGGGTGGGAAACAAAAGGAGCTGGTTTCTTTTGTTTAAAACACACTGGGATGTTTCCTTGACTTTCCAGAGCAGCCCTTAGTGCCAAGGGAGAGACAAAGAGGCCTAAGTAAAAAAAAAAAAAAAAAAAAAAAAAAAAGTAAATAACAGAAATTTGGGTTGAGAAGCTGGCACTGAGAGAGGAGAAGGCTCCAGAGAGCAGGGAGGGGAACACCCAGGATTTGGGAGCCTCAGGGACACAGGAGGCCGAGGTTGGGGGGAATGCAGCCTAGGACACGTCCCCGGTGGTGAGGGATAGCTGATGATTGCCTCGACCACATTTCCGTGCTGTGATGCCCCAGCACCGCCCTCTGCCTCGTACCCTTGTGCTGGCAGCACTTGGAGGGAAAGACAGAATGGGGGCAGTGCTCAGCATGGCTCAGCGCCTCCTAAAAGGATGTTTCGCCTCCAGAGCCAAGGGTGCCAGCAAGGAGCTGCAGCTGTGGGAGAACAGGCTGCAGGGTGGCTGACCACAGTCCCACCAGAAACCCTTTCGAACCTTAGGTTGAGCTCTGGACTCTCCAGAGTGTGGGAAGGGGGTGAGAATAAAGGAAAAGGACAGGGGCATTTGGGTTTCTGTGCTCCACATGCTTTTGCCATGCTGAAATGTAACAAAGGGCCATTTGGTTCCTGCGTGGGCCTTGGTTCCCACTAACGAAGGTGTGGGTCTGTTAGGAGGATCTCCAGCCAGGGGCTGAGCAGGGTCCCTCGAGGCTTTCCCACCCAGCTCTGACCCCACCCCCACCCCCCCACTGTCATTTCCCGAAGTTCTCTCAGGCCTGGGCTGGGATCCCAAACTCGGCCACTCGCCAAGGCATATCCACCCTGCGAGACAAGCCAAGTGGGTCACTGTGTCCATTTTCCAGATGCAAACACTGAGGCCCAGGGAGGGGGCACAACTTGTACACGGCATACAGTAAGAAAGTGAGAGCTGAGATCTGAACCCAGGACTGCCTGCCTCCAAAGCCTGTGTCCTGACCACTGTGTCACACTTCTGCCCCTGAACCAGGCTACTTCTCTGCTATTCCACAGGCCGTGTGCTCCTGAGATGGAAATGCCCCCTTCTTCCACTCGCCCTGGCAGCCAGCACTGAGGTGGACTCTGAGGGTGTGCTCAGAAGATGTCACCGACTACATTTCTCTCCGAACATTCCCGTGGCTGGCTCCCCAGGGTGGGTACAGAGCCCAAGGATCAGCTAGGCATTTCCAGGCCATCCTGAGAGAGCAGGGCAGGCCAGGAAGACACACTGCGGGCGGGATGCTGGCCGCCCAGGAGGCAGAAACACAAAGAGCCGCAAAGTCAGTGGGTGGCAGAACAGGAAGAGACCACAATGGGCCCTGGCTGACCGGAGATGTCCCAATTGTTAGCGCCAGCTCGCCGTCTGTTCCCATTGCACTGTGGTGCAGCCTCGTTGGAGCTTGGTTGGAAAGCTGGACAGGAGGGCAGGCGAGTAAGGAGTACCCCAGCCCCCAAGCTGAGGCAGAGCTTCCGTCTTCTTTCAGTCATTCATTCATTCACCCAACAAACATTCCTTGAGCACCCACAATGCTCCGGGCCCCGTGCTAGACCCTGGGAGTGTGCTTTTCCAGGGGAGGTAAGCACCCTTCAGACAAGTCATCCAAGGGAGTCCTTGGTCCCTGATTCTCCCCAGCCAGCCCAGGGGAGCAACCCTCAGCAGACCCAGCCCGCAGGAAAAGCTGGGTGTGTTTCTTGTTTACCATCTTCTTTGCCCCAAATTGAACTCTTCACACATGTTGATCTTGAAAGAAACAGGAAGCCTAGGAGTGTGCGCAATGTTAATTGTTCCTGCAACAGAAGCTCCAGCTGAGCCCCAAATGCATCTCTTAAAAGCCTCACTCAGGCCCTCGCCTTGGCAGCGGCAGCGGGTCTCTGGGGGCACAAGGGAGGCGGGCAGGAAATCGGGCGCCGGAGTTCGGGACACTGGGTCCTGCAGCTCCAGCTCTGACTGCAGGCGAAGGGGTCACTGGACTCTGAGAACCCCAGGCAGGACCCACAGGGCTGTCTCAGGGGAGGCGGGGAGGGGAGAGGCGAGGGCTCCGCCAATGCCTGGAAAGAAATCTAAGCAACGGAATGTGCACCTTGAGTGCTCAGTGTCACTGAGCCGTTTCCGTTGCTCTCAGCAGCTCATGGGCTCCCTGGAGACCCATGTTCGGTGTTTGCTCACCGACACTGCTGGAAAAGGGCAAGGCAATCTGTCTGCTCCAAACCATCTGCCCAGCAGACCCAGGGCAGGCATGCAAGCACACGTGTGCACACACACACACACACACACACACCTCCCATGCCAATCCAAATGAGCTCTAATAGCATGGTCATCTCTCCTGAGGAGTGCTGGTCTTGGCCACCCTCAGCTTGCCAGCTGCAGGGAGAGGGTGTGGCCTCCAGCCTTGAGGAAGCCAGGCCTGCACGAGGCTGTAGCTCACATGGGCTCAGCGTCTGGAAAGTATTGGTGCAACCGCACCACCTACCATGACCATCCGCCACCCAGTGGAGCTCACACGGCCTCCAACTTCAAACCTTGGGCTGGGGGCTTCAGGTGGGGAAGATCCAACCAATTTCCAGTCCAGGGCCCCTGAGGGGTGGAAGCTGGACATACGGGCACTGTCTAGCTTCCCATAGCCACCTCAGGGTCTGTCTGGGCACATCAGGGCTGGGAGCGGACACAAAGGACTGGCCCAAGAAGCCCAGACCATAGAAAGAGCCAGCTGAAGTCACATGGCACATGGGCAGCAGAGCGGAGCCCAGACCCCAAACTCCCAGCGGCTGCCCTTGGCTCTTCCACGGCCCTCGCCACTCCCATCCCAAACCCTGTGCAAAGCACAGCCAGTTTGAGCCCCCCTTCTTTTCCCTCCCTCCTTTTCACAGGAGGATGAGCACTGTCCCCCAGTGAGAGTTTGGTTCTATAATCAATCAGTCCAAGCTACCAAGCATTGCCCCCCCAATATTCCTTACAACTGAGCTGGGGATGGGCAGATGCATGAAGGAAGAGACTGGTGTGTGTGTGTGTGTGTGTATGTGTGTGTGTGTGTATGTGCAGGGGGTGGGAGGGACTTGACAATGGGCGTGCAGGGGAAGCGGGTGAGAGGGAGGGAGGAAAGGGCAGAGCAACAGGAAACCAAGGGCAGCAGCTCTCAGCTCCCATGAGAGCTCCCTGCAATGCCCGGGTCTGAGCTGAGCTTGCTCAGCGGGCTGCTCCTCCCCACTGACCTTGGCCAGGGGTGCCCGCCCCGAGGAAGGGGTGGCCCGCAAGCCAGGGGACTTGCTGTTTCCCCTCAGTGGCTGCCCGGGTCAGCGGGCAGGAGGAAGGCAGAGGCAGAGAAGTTGTAAGACTTCCTGTGGGGCGGCGGGAGTGGAGGTTCTCACACCGCCTGGTGTCTGAGGAGGAAGGCCAGCAGGGGCTAAGCACACAGGTCGGGTTGCAAACAGGCAGGAAGTTTTCCTGGAGCAAAACCCATCAAAACAGAATTCTTTCGCCGGGTAATATTTTCCTCCCTGCCCCTGTCACTCGCACTCAAACAGGTCTGTTGTTGTTTTCATAATCCGGGAGAGGAAATCAAGCCCCTTTCAGCGGAGACCTCAGGCGCCAAACCAAACCGCGTGGCAGATCCTCCCAGCTGGCTTCCCGTCGATGGAAAGTTTGAGGAAGAGGTTCGCTCCACACTCCCTTGTGCTCCTGCTTGCAAAGCCCCCCGGCCATGTGTGTTCCCAAAGCAACAAAGCAGAATGGGGAAGGAGCAGTGGTCTCTCGTCCCGGATATGTGTGGTGAGTGCGGTGACAACTAGCATTTACCTAGCGTGGGTCCGGCACTTTACACACGTGACCAAATTCACTCTTCACAACCACCGTCTGAAATACGGTTGGTCTCCCACATCCGCACATAAGGAAACGGGCCCAGAGTGGTGAAGTCACTCGCCCAAGGTCTCACAGGGAGTGAGGGGCAGGGGCCAAGATCTGAACACAGATCCAAGTCCAGAGGTCTTCCCGCTTCACCCCATAGCCTCCCTAAGCATCTCTGGAACAGAAACCTCCCGCAAAAGTCGGGGTACACAGGGAGGCTTGCCGGTCTCGAATGGAGCGCCAGTGTGGGCGAGCCCTCCAGCCCAGGGGCAGGACCTCACCACCCATGTCGTGCCCCTCTGACAGCTGGCAGCTCAGTACCACGGGGGCTGGACCCAACCTGAGCGGCCAGGCTGCCCGGAGCGGCGGCCCTGGGGCACGTGGGGAGAGGGCCCGGGGCAGGGGGGGCATACACTTACCTTCCTGCAGCTTCACACTCTGGAGGTAGAGGGGGTTCCTCAGGACATTGCAGCGGCCCGGCTCGTCCTCCTTGGTGAAGAGCAGCAGGTCCGAATAGGCAAACAGCGTCACCTGCGTCAGGTGAGAGCAAACAGAGCAGGCTCTTCAGCCGGCCCACAGGCCAGGAGCCGCGACCTCCCTGAAGGCCTGAGGGAGGAGTCCTGTCTTCTTAGGAAGAGCTGGGAGCAGATTCAACGTGGCCTTGGCCAAGGGCAGAGGCCTGACCTGCAGTCAAGACCACCCCTTTGCCCTACCGTTTGCTACAGCTCCACTCCTCACAGTAGGAAAACATAGAATAAAAGAGCCCAGCTTCACATTCTCTGGCAGATGGCCCCTGCAAGCCTCGACACAGCCTGATACTGCACAGGCCCCTGGCTCTGTCCACGAGCCCCTGGAACCTCCAGCCCTTGGCTCAGAGCTGTCCTGGAGCTGGAGGATGTCCTGCACCTGCTTGTATTCTCCTCTAAACATCTGGCAGAGAGAGCACTGGACTTGAACTCAGCAGTCAGGAGGCTCCCTCCCCTAAGAAGCCATGAAAACTTGGTTAAGTCTCCTGCGTTTTCTCATCTGCACACACAGGGGAGAGCCCCTGCCCAGCTCCCTCACAAGCTCTGAGCAGACGGTGAACTGAAGCACGGTGCAACGTGAGGTGCTGTTACCAAATTCCTCGCAGTCATTTTAACCGCAGTTATACGCAATCAGTTTAAGGAGAAATCAGTTACGTATACTCCAGTACAGACATGCGCATGACTTTTATCTCTTTCGTGCACTAGCTGCTCCAAAAATAAAGGAGAAGGCTATTTTTAGACATTCTAGGTAAACCAACAGGCATGCTCAGCATATTTTTGTGCTGCGAAAGTCCACTTGATCCTCTAATGCCACAAAAGATTGCGCTGTTCTTTGTTGTGTAAACCCTGCGGTGGCCTCTGGTCAAGAGCAATAATTTCCAATTTTAGATCGCTCAGAGAAAACAGATCATGGTTAATTATGTGAACTTCCCTTGGAGGTGTCAAAATCTGACGCTTCACCTCCGCTGAAGGGAGAAGCGTCTGCCAGCAGGGCCTGCCGTGTGCTACGAAGGGCCACAGTGAGTGTGTGTGCTGGATTGTCATGGAAATTTAAGAAGCCAACAGGTGGACATTTAGCTATCGGACCGTAAAGACGACATAACAACTGTACCTCTGAGACTACCCTTCAGAAACATTTACAAGGCTATACAGTATGACCCATAAATATTTCTCAGCAATATTTTTGTAATGAGAAAAGGATATAAACTGAGGTTGAAGAAGGTGAAGGGAGTCTAGGGTGACAGACTAGACTTTGAGTGGTGAGCATGCAATGCAACATACAGAGCATGTGTCATAGAATGGGATACTTGAAACTTATATAACCTTATAGCCAATGTCACACCAATACATTTATTTTCTTAAAAAAGCACATAAACTACTGGAGGGGTGATGACGTAAAAACAAAGAATAAAATAAATAAGAGAAGGGTAAAAAAAAAAAATAAAAAAGAAAGAAAGAAAGAGACAGAGAAAGAGTGTAAGTGCCCATCAAGAGAAGCTGGATAGCTGAAACCGGTTTGGCTCAGTGGATAAAGCATCGGTCTGCGGACTGAAAGGTCCCAGGTTCAATTCCGGTCAAGGGCATGTACGTTGGTTGCGGGCACATCCCTGGTAGGGGGTGTGCAAGAGGCAGCTGGTCGGTGTTTCTCTCTCATCGACATTTCTAGCTCTCTATCTCTCTCCCTTCCTCTCTGTAAAAAATCAATAAAAATATATTTATAAAAAAAAATAGAAGCTGGATAAAATAAATTATACTACCTTCATAAGGTAGAATTTTATGTGACTAAAAGGATAATGTAGAGCTGTGCAGACAGAAGCTGAAATCTGTCAAAATAGTGCCATGTGTAAAAATACCAAGAGGATAATCCAATTTGGTGAAACGAAACTCTAAATTAGTCTAGATTGAACATTTTTTGAATGTCTAACAGGCCACAATTTTCGCTCTGGAGAGTGGATTTTTACTTCATACATTTCTGCTTAGCTTGCATTGTTGTGCAATGAAAACCGGTTATTTTTATAATTTAAAAAAATATGTAAATATTTTTCAAAGAGCCACTTGGCTTCCTGAGCATAGCAGAAGCACAGGGGTCTGAGGGAATCTGGGCATCCTCAGGGGCTCTGGCTGCTGTAATGGAACCAAACATTAGGGTCCTGGGATCCTGAGCTGGGCGGGGTCCTGGCGGTGATGCTGTCTAACCCCCTTCCCACCACAGCACTGTCCCAACACAGCCCATCCAAAGCCTCCGTTTGGTAAGCACTTAGATTTCTGCTCCGTGGACCTGCACTTGTCAATAACATCATTGCCCTCAGTTATAGCGATGAGGACCCTGCAGCTCAGGGAGGTTAATAAGTGACACCGCAGGGACCGTGGCCCAGGGCTGGCTGCCCCCGAAGCGCTCACTGTACAGAGAGGCAGCAGTATGCCTACTGTCGTCCAGCTCCTGAATGTGAAAGAATCCTGGAACAGATGGAGCAAAGGAGACTGGAGGAAAATGAAATCAAAGGAGGGGAAGAAAATGGTCCAAGAATTCAGAAGGATTGGAGGGGTTGGTTGCCTGAAGAGAGAGCTTCAAAGTCCAAACAGTGAAAAGAAGAAGGCTCTAAACACCCAACACAGGCCAATGGTCAGGCTCCCCCGCCCACTCAAGGGGAACCTGGTTGTGACCTGCGGACCCACTGGGAAGCTGGCGGGGGGAAGGACTGGAGAAGACAGTCTGTTAGGAGCCTATGAGGTAAAAACGGACCAAGGCCAGAGAGAACTGAGAGAGGGTAACGGCCAGTGGGCAAGGTACAAAAAGCCCCAGGCTGCTGCCCTGGCCCTGATTCCCAGAGCTGGAAATGTGGTCTAGACAGGAAGTGATTAAGGCATGAACGAAGAATTTCCCCAAAGGTCGGGTCAGGGAAAGGACAGAGCTGGCACACAGCAGAAGGCAGGGCAGAGGAGCAAGCGTGCCAGGGGAGGCAGGTGGGCCCCTCTCCCATCTCACCAGAATCCTGCAGACTTGGCTCCCTCGGAAGCCGCCGCGGCCTACAGTGCAGTGATGCCCATCTCCACGGGCCCTGTCACCTGCTGCCTACACAGGTGTCTTCCTACATTTGCTCCAGAGACACATCAGTCAAGGAGTGAGGGATTGCTTAGGGAATCATCGCAACTTAGAAGGTCACTTCTCCCAACTAACCTAACCCAGCCTCCTCCAGGAATCTGGTCTAGGGGCAGGGTTTGCAGAGAGAACTTTGGCGCCTTCGTTAATGGTAAACTCGGTGAGTCAGTGTGCAAATGAGGGTGTGTCTGTGTTGGACCCTGTGGTACTCCTGGAAGCTCTAGCACAGGCCCTGGCTGCCCTGTAGCCACTCAGGACCTATTGTCTGAAGGTATAAATCAGATTACTCCATTATGCCGATTTGATCTCACGGCACGTTAATGGAGTCTGTGACTTCGGGAGTGGTGTGAGGAGGGCAGTTCAGGGTGTGGGTCTGGATCAGCGCACAGACATGAGCAAACTGGAGCATGCTCTGAGCAGAGGCGGGACCAATAAGCAAGGGGGAATATCTGAGAATTAAAGATTCCTGTTGAGCCTAAGGGAGAGATTGCTACAATTTAGCATTCTCCATGAAAAAACAACAACAAACAAACAAATAAAATACACACACACACACACACACACACACAATGTTTGCAGGGACCACCTCTGCAGACTCAACAACTGGCTAGAAAACCAGCTGGACGTTACAGGGAAGCAATCAGAAAGATGACTCCTGAGGACTAACCAGCATTGCGATTCTACAAACTTACTCAAGCCCCCCTTGGACTGGCTTATATTTGGGGGCTGAATAACAGGTGCCAAGTCGCACACATTTGCTTCCTAGCATAATTCAAGAAAAACAAATACATTCATTTTACTTGTCTTCAAGTTGCCTCTTTCAATCTTCCAAAGGGAGTCTTCTTGGTTCTAAAGCTCCAAAGATCCACTAGCAAAGAACTTTGGAACAGACTGTAACCAGGCTATGACTTCAGCTTGTGTTTGCTAGTTTGTTTCTAAACAAACAAGCCAGAGGCAGCACGGGATTGTGGGAAGCACTGCCGAGCCAGAGATTTGAGTGCTGAACCTGGCTCCATCCCTCATAGCCTTAAGATACAATGAATCTCACTGGAGCCTCAGTTTCCTCATCGATAGAAGCGGCGGGGGGGGGGGGGGGGGGGGGGGGACGTGCCTCTCCTGGGGTGCTATTAGAATTAACTGAGAGTTGATGTGTGGAATGCACGCACAGTGAGGGTAACATAAGTGCTCAGTGTTTGCTGACTTCATGGTCCATGGACAAACACAAGAGCAAATCTAGGCCCATAAATGTACTTCAGGGCAGCTGCCACTTCTGCGTGTCTTCTTGGAAATCTTAGGAGCTTGTAGTCCCACCTCACTTTCTGACCCTGGCCACCTGACTCAGCTCCCCCACACCCTTCTTCACCAAGCACAGTTCCGGGTGACTTATTCCTAAAATTCAAATCCCGCGCAACACTAGTAGATGAGGCTTTACTCCCATGAAGGCAACTCAAGGTCCTTAAGGAAGTTCCTCAAGAAGAGGTCTAGAAAGGCAGTGAGTAATGCCTGTGAGGCAGAAATAAGCTTGCAGTCTCCCCAGGGAGCGCCTTTGAAAGCGATGATGCTCATTTGGAATATATGAGCTATAGTCTGCTTGTCAAACACACAAACACACACACACACACACACACAAGCAGCCTCCTGCTTTAGCCACGATTACACATAATGTCCCAGAATGCTGGCTGAAAGGGCCCTTAGACAAAACTGCCTCAAACTCACCCCCCTCCACTGCTGAGATGAGAAGGCCGAGGAAGAGGTCCAGCAGCAGAACAGGAGCTGGCTATACGCTTCCCGCCTCCAGCGTTCCTGATCTTTCCACACTACCCCAAGCTGTCACTCAACCCAGCCAGCCATGCTGCCGGTGCTGAGTCAGGGCCTGATCTGCAGCAAGCCCCTTCCCTTTCTTCCGGGCTCCCAGGTGGCCTTGAAGATCCCCGGGCTCCGACCTCTGTGCCCCGGTAGGTTTAAGCTCACAGGACTGAGCTGGAACCTGGCCAGCTCTGGGAATTGTGTGTGTGAGTGATCAACAGGGGCCAGCTCCCACGAAGGGTGGCGGGATCTCCATCTGCCGGAAACTCATCATTGTCCCACTAATAGAAAGATGTAAAAGGCTGGTCAACCTTGAAGCTCTGAAAGGTCAGAGCCAACCACTCCCTGTCTAATTGAGACAAAGGTAACTGAGGCAACTTCCCCATCAAATAATCATATAAATCCTTACTGATATGATAACCCAATTACCACCTGCCTAAGGGCTATGGGTGTATTCCAAACCTGCTTAAGGGTAATGGGTGTATCCTATTAAATTAAATTTCTTCTAGTCTCTTTCATTTGTGTGCGGCCCTTCTCCAGTACCTGAACCCTGAACCACTCCGGACATGAAAGGGGTTCCCACATCCATCCCCAAGCCTCTACTGGTAGAGCTAAAGCCCAGGAGAAATGTCAGACTTATCCCTTAGGAGAGGATTTGGGGTTTGGGTTAATACAGGCCCACAAAACCTGCGTAACTGATGCTCCTCTAAAAATTCTCTGTGGCTGACAGCTTTCATCTTCTCACCCACAAAGCCATTCATCACCCCTGGGGGAATGGCCTCCTCTTCTGTTCCTTAGAGGAATTTAGGACAAACAACGGGGTGTCTTCAGGGGCTGGGAAAACTTTCTAACCATCAAAGGTGGACTAAGCAGCTTTGAGAGGTAGTGAGCTCCTTATTGCTGGAAATGCACCAGCAAAAGTTGGGTCACTGTCTGGTAAGGAGGGCGTGGAGGGGGGTGGCAGACTTTTCAGGTATTTTCTATCCTGAGATGGTACACTTCTAAGGAAGACGGAGAAGTCAGGGGCCTGGAGAAAGGCCCGGGAGGCCCCCCAAGGCACCCCACCTGGGGACGGCGCGTGTCGGCCTTACCTCGGCAGCCTTGTTCCTCCCCTCGTACAGCAGCAGCTCCTCCGACAACAGGAGCGTCCGGGCGGGGTTACAGAGATCTAAAGGCTGAAGACAGAGTGGGGGCGAGGGGGTCACAGCTCGACAAAGCCAGACACGGAAAAGTCTGCCAGCCCGGCCCGGTACCCGAGAACCCACACGCCCCCTCATACGCAGATGGAAACAGAAAGGCAAATGCGCTGGTGCTGGGCGGAACTGTAGCTGCCACCTTCACCACCAGCCCTCAAAGCTGCACTCTCTGGCAGGAAGTCCAACCGCACATTGTAGTCCTCCCCGCCCCCCGCCCCCCCTCCTCCACTGCACTGGGCTCCTGGGACTTCCCAGGCCCCACGCTCCCCCATCTGTCCTGCTCATGCCTCACGGGATGGTCCCTGCTGCTAGGCCCGGGCTCTCAGGATACCAAACTGGACCCGATTTGGTCACTTGAGTCCCTTCAAAGCCCAGGCCAGCCCCTGCTCTACATTTGTGACACACTGAAGTGCACTGAATTCTTCTCGACCATCAGTTCCCAGGAACTGTTTCTCACCCAAACCTCTTACCCAACCCCATCACCCCTCCTCCATCCCTGCCCAGCTCGGGGAGAGCTCCCTAAGCTCTGGATGAGCCTGTAGGACTTATCCTCATGAATGCATATTTATAACACGGCTTCCAGGCACCTGACACCAAGCAAGGTGCTGGAGGAAAGAGAATGAGGCCAACGTCAACTGCACTCAACAACCTGGATGGATCTTACAAATCTGTGAAGCAAAGGAAGCAGAGTCCCCCCCCCCCAAAAAAAAAAAAATGCATGTAATATGGTTTCATTCAATAACATTCAAAAAGAGGCCAAATCAAATTTGTTATTTAGGAAAGCACGCATAGATGGTAAAACTAAAGAGAAGCAAGGAAATGATTGTCGTAACATGGGGCTAGAGGGTATGTCTGCTGGGAAGGCGGGCATCCTGATCGAGGAGAGATCCAGTGGCCTCTGGAGTGGCGGCAAAGGTGGGTTCTTTCATCTCAGCGCATATCTGCTTTAGAATTATTTGTTCAACTGTGCGTGTACGTGTTGTGCCACTGTTTGGTATATGTATTTTATAAGGTTAAAATGTTCACAACTTTTTAAAAACTCGTTTTAGTTCTTTTGTAAACATTTAAAAATGAAAAGAAAACATAACCCCTGCCCTGACCGGTTTGGCTCAGTGGATAGAGCGTCAGCCTGCAAACTCAAGGGTCCCAGGTTCAATTCCGGTCAAGGGCATGTATGTACCTTGGTTGTGGGCACATACTCAGTAGGAGAGTGCAAGAGGCAGCAGAATTGATGTTTCTCTCTCATCCATGTTTCTAACCCTCTATCCTTCTCCTTTCCTCTCTGTGAAAAATCAATAAAATATATTTTAAACAAAACAAAACATAACCCCTGTGAATGCCAAGACCGTTGTGGTTATACCCCAAGAAAGAGAGGAGACCAAGGAAAGGCCAAGGCCGGCCCTCCTGATGGGCTGTCTGTCTGGGAGAGGCATGTCACCTACCAGGGGTCGGGGCGCCCCACACTGTGTGCCTAAGACCCACTAGATGGTGACAGGACCAGAACTAGAGCCAGAAGCCAGGAAGGCCAGAGAAGGAAACGGTGGTAAGAAATGAAGCCCTTGGGACATTGTCACCTCTAAGCTGCTGACAAGAGGACAAACTAATCAAGTCGTTATGGACAGCCATTTGTCTGTCTGTATAAAGGGCCTTTCAGACGTTTATGGCCTGTGACTCAGGCCTTGCACGCCTAGGAATCTCTTCCAAGGAAAACAAGCAGAGCGGCAAGTCATGCACAAGGATTTTCCTCACAGGGTTATTTATAAGAAGAAGTAGACATAACATAAGTGTCTGCACAGAGAGCCGGTTAAATAAATAGGGTACGTCCATAGAATACAACAGTGTGCAGCCACTACAAAACACAAGCTACAAAAAGGCTCGAAGAGTATTTAATGATGTGGGAAATGATTGTGCAGTTTTCATTTTTAAAAAGCAACAGGAGGAATCCCAGAGAAAAGGTGGTGGTAGTGGGGGGAGGGGGGAGGGGATTAACCAGAGAACTTATATGCATATATGGATACAAATAATAGCACCCATGGACACAGATAATAGGGTGGTAAAGGCCTGGGGGGCAGGGGTGGGTGGGGCGAACCAATAGGGGGGAGAAGGAGGGCAGCTATAATACTTTCAACAATGAAGATGAATTTTTAAATAAATAAATAAATGAGCAACAGGATATAAAATGTACAGTAAGACCTGTTTGGCGGTGGTGGTTTTTTTCTCTCCAATGTGTATATGTACACAGCAAGGACACCTAAATGCTCACACTGGTTATGTCTCAGGGGTGAAATAAAGGTGTGGAAACGGGGAGGAAGTGAGGGAATAGGAGGGGAAAGGAAGAGAAGGGAGATTGAAGTGGATCTCAGGCCACCCGCTGCTACTGGCCAGACATGTTTGCTTAGGCTGAGGAGACCAGACAAGATGTCAGACCTCAAGGTCTGGACATTCCCAAACAATGAACCACTGGATGGGCCGCAAGCAGAAGCCTCAGCCCACCAAGCCCTGTGACCGCACAAGTGGTTGGAATGTGCCTGGCCCCAGAAATAGGGGGAGTTGGGGGGAAGCAAGGAGGGGACCCCCTTGTTTGCCCCACCCCACCCCAACTCTCCTGTCCTCCCTCTTACTTAGAGACCTGTGCTCCCTCCGTATCACCCCCTGAATCCTGAGCACCTGAAGCGATTTGTCTTTCCCTAACGGGGGAGATGAGGCACCATCCCCGAGTCCTGGGGTCAAGGACCCTCCTCTTTCTCACCTCCCCCCGAGGGAAGTGCTTGTGACCAGCCGCCAGCTCACCTGAACAAAGATGGGGAACACCAGAACCTTGGGAGCCAGAGTGACGTAGGTGCCATAGCTTGAGTGTGGGGGGTGTGGCCTCATGACTGAGCAGTTCTGGTAGTTCCCATGGCCCTTCATGGTCTGCACCGTCTTCATCAGCCGAGACTTCTTCCCCAGGCCCGTGTAGGACTTCCCTTTACTGGGGCTCCCTGATTCTGTAGGACAGAGACGGGGGGCCGTGAGGCACTTCGATTAGCCCTGCAAAGGCATCCCGTCTGCAGAAACCGGGAACAGACTCGGTCCACAGCCATCTGCTGCGAGCATCTGCTCCGTGCGAGGTGCTGAGACTATAGGAAGGCCTCCGAACTCCTCGAGGAGTTCCCTGGCCATCGAGGAGAGATACTGACACGTAAATAAGCACTCCCACGGTGAGCACGGAGCTGGGAACCATGCATTGTGACGGGGGTGCAGACCCCATCTGGTGACCCAGGGCCCACATCAGACCTATCGGTTTGGCCTCGTACTTATTAACATCAGGAAATCGCTCCTATTGGAAAAACCAGATCTGACCTCACCAGGCCCACCGTCCCACGCAGAACCATCGCTTGGGGCACAGTGGTGAGCGCCCAGGTGGCAGAGCACCTGCTCTCCGCTTTCCACCGTCCCCACCACCCCCTGCACACACCCAGCTCAGCGCACCCAGTGCACCGCCTCCCAGGTCCCAGGGCAGAGGGTCTAGAGACCCAGTCTCTGCAGAGTCTGGCGGCGGCAGAGTCAGTGGACTTGCCCGGGATGCCTGGAGAGGCAGCCTCTATCAGTCAGGGGAGCTGGGGTGGCTGGGCTCCCCTAAGCTGGTCTAGAACGAGGAGTGGCACCTGCTGTCCCAGTCCTCGGGGAAGAGCACCCTCAGCTCACTGGCTTGGTGACCTCCGGCAGCTCACTCCCCCCTCAGAGTCTTTGGTTGCCTCAATGCTAACAACAGTACCAAGTTCGCTGGGTCGCTGCGAGGATTAAGTGAGATGGTCCAAGGAAAGGCCCTAGAACCGTGCCTGGGACCTCTAGGTGTGCCAGGAAAGCTGCTGACTTGGGGTTCTTGTGGCTGTGATTCCTCCGCACGGAAAAGCAGGTTAACCAGGTGCCTTGGGGACGCTGGGAAACCTGGGCTTTGTCAGAGGCAGGAGGTCCTCCCCGCTGGGCCACCAACTCACAAGTTATTTTAATCAGAAAAAGGGGAGAACAAGGGCATGGGGAGGGGTCAGGGAGAGGGGGAGAGACGCTGCCAGGAAAGAGAGCAGGAGACTGCAGGGGGTTCCTCTTTAAAAAGACAGCGCTGGGCACACACCTCAGCCTGAGCAGCGGTGGCCCACAGGCCTTTATCATGTCCCTCCAATGGGCTGAGGAGCAAAACACCGAGTTCCTAAAACGGCAGGGATTCTAGGACGCGAGCGGGCAGGAGGCAAACCCTGGAGCATTCAGGCTCCATGCAGCCCCGGCCCCTCCAAGGGTTCCTGCTGCCAGCTGGGCACCTGACCAGTCTTCCCTGACCTGCATTGTCCCGGGGTCAAGGTCTCCTTCCACCACCCCCAGTCTTGGAAGCCAGAGCAGTCAACAGGTGGCCTGACCCCGCTACATCTACATCGCGGGGAAGCTCCCCACCAACGTGAGACCCACGGCCTCAGAGGAAAAACTCAGCTCAGGAGGTTTCACACTTGCTTCCTTCGCCCGCCCACCCACACCCCTGCTCCCAGCGAGGTGAGAAAAACAAGTCGACACCTCCCCCGCAAGTGACCACCTACCCCTGCTGTTTCTTGGGGCAGCACTCAAACCATCATCACTTAAACCACTTCCTGATGCTTCGGGGGACGTGCTTAGAGTAGAAAGAGCCTGAGTCCAGGACAGGGGTGGGGGTGGAGGGTGTAGACATCTGCCCCAGGCCACGTCCCAGCTTCAAGGTCCCGGCCCCTTTGCTGGAAGAACCCATCCTGAACTAGACTTATCAGGGGATCGCTTGGTTAAGTTATATCAATGTCTAACCACGACAGGGTACACCTGAAACCAATGTACTAGTGAGTGTCAACTGCAATTGAACAAAAATAAAACTTAAAAGAGGACCCATCCTGTGACTCTCAGGATTGCAGTTGGACAAGACACCTGAACATGAGCACGGGCTTCTCCAGAGCCCCCTCTCTGAGGTACCTTCCCCCTGTGAGCCAGAGTTACCCCCACTGCAAAGTGGGGCTTGTAAGGGCCACTGCCTTGCCTGTCCCAGGGCCGGTGTGGGGCACACAGGAGAGGCCTGATGGGGAAGGGCTTGCTGAGTAGTACCGAACGTGAGTGCACAAGGGGCTATTACAAACCCCAAACCGACAGATAAGCCACCCGACAGAAGTCTCCAGCAGGTGCCTAGGGGGCCTGAAGGAATGCCCTGCCAGGAATTCCAGCACCGAGACTGACAGCTCAGGCTTCCTGAGGGAAGGAACTGATTTTGAGCCCCACTTGTCTCTCCTTGGCCCTTAAGAAATAGGGCCAGGGTGTGAAGGCCAGAGAAGAATCATTCAAACAGCAGAGACATGTGCACTTCAAAGACAACGACCCTCTGGGTAGCACCTCTCCGTATACAGGCTACTGCCCACAACCACTACCTTCTTTAACTCCCCCACAACCCTCCGGGGTGGGAATCATCAGCCCCGTTTTATTAGGTAAAGAAACGGAGGCTCAGCGAGGGCCCATGACTTGAGCAAAGTCACACAGCTAGAACTCCGATTTGAGACCATCAGCTCCAAATTCCACGCCTCCCTTCCACGCAAACCTGACCATGCTGCCTACAGCACCTAACAGATATTGGTTGCTTTCGTAAAAATTGGATGAATCTCAACTGAGTGCCCGAGTCCTGTACACCACCTCTTAGACAAGATCCCGCCTTCTTCCTCCTTGGGCAGCCTCCAGGGCGGAAGGACGCTGGGGTTCGGGGTGGGAGAAAATGCACTCGAGGACACAGAGCCTGCATCAGCATGGGGGTGCTTCTTGATCCTGCTGAGAAGGCCTCCAACCTCAGAGGGGGAGGCTGGGCCCGGCCTCCCGGCTGACTTCACAATCTCTCAAAGGCCCGGAGGGCACAGCGGCAGAGGACCAACTCACCTTCGGGGATGGCATCCTCCTGGTACACAGGCCTCAGCAGCTACAAGGCAAAGACAGGAGAACACCTCAGCCCCAGGAACCCGGCAGGCTGCTCCCGCCAGCCTGGGGATGGGAAGCCAACACCTCGGGGCACTAGGGAAAACAGCAGTCCTGCTACCAAGCGGAGAGGGGGCTGGGAAACAAAACCCAGAGTCCTCCGGAATATTCGAGTGGAACAGGCTATAGCTGTCAGTAAGTCTAGTCCCTTGGCCAAATCCCCACTTTCCTTGAGGGCAGCTTGTTCCAAAAAATGTTCCATGGAACACTGGCACGGAGCGATGCTAACCACCCCGCCACAGGGTGCACCCTCAGGGGAGTCTGGGAAATGCTGAGGGAAACAAGGTTAAACGCCCGTCTCCAGTGCACAGGGTGACCCGAGCAGGCTCCCATGGGCTAGTGTGCATGGGGATATTGCTCAAACGTGTGTGACTTCAGAACACTTTTCCCCCCAAAAAAAAAATCTCATGGGGGCAATGTTTTGGGGCGCACACTCCCTCATCCCACCCTGCCGTCATGTACTGTCTGCTCTCACACCTTCTGTGCCTGAGAACTCACCACCCACCGCCCCCAGCAGCCCATCCCATTGTGGAGCCCTCCCTTCTGAGCAGCAGCCTTCTCCCCTGTGAGGCCCCCTGGATCTGTGTCTGCGCCCTGAGGCCACAAAGACCCCCGCCTGCTCTCTGCACCCAGGACAGCCCTGCAGCAGTGGAACTCACACACACTCCCATCCCCCTGCAGGCTCCTCCCCAACACCACTGTGAGTCCTTTCCTGGCCTCACCCAGGGACCCGTGCCCTTCGCCTTCCCCCAACCAGCTGTCCATACCTGGCTCCCAGGGTTCAGCGGGGCCAGGATGATGTAGTTGGGGTCGGTGGGGGCAGTGGCCCGGGACAGCGCCGGCAGGGTATGCTGGCCCCCGCGCTTGGCCACCTCGGTGTAGCGCTCCCAGCCTCCGAGCAGCAGCCCATCCGAGCTGTCACATACCAGGTGGCAGCTGTGGCGCTGCTCAGGCCGAGCCTGGGCCCCGTGGGTGCAGTTCTTCTCCCGCTTGTTGGGGGGCAGCAGGAGGTCGTGTGCTGACTTGCAGGAGGCCCGCCTCAGGACCCCGCCATCGGGTCCTGGCTTGACTTGGGGGACCAGGCGCCACACGAGCAGGATGATCTCACTGGGGCAGCTTCTGGAAAGGGGGAGTCACAGAGAGAATTTGAGTCTGGGGGAGAGATCAAAGTCAGCTGAGGCGAGGGCCTGCAGGGGCAGAGAGGACGAGCTCGGGAGGGGGAGAAGCCCTAATGTCAGGGCAAGAAGGGGGATAAGAGATCACGTAAAACAGAGATAGCCTAAGGCTCCTCATAGGACCACTCTAATGGGCTGACGGAGGCTGAGAAGGATGCTGAGGCCTAGGCCAGGTTAAAAAAGAAAGTACCAAATTCAACTGGTGACGTCTGTGGGCAAAACATAAGCCAGGAGGAGCAAGCAAACACCTGCGTGCGTCCATCCACCCAGTCATTTTAGAAGCAGACCAGCGGTGGGCCATGCGGGTTCTATCCCAGCCGGCCAAAATGTGGAGGGCCCAGTCAAAACCGGTTTGGCTCAGTGGATAGAGCGTCGGCCTGCGGACTGAAAGGTCCCAGGTTCGATTCCGGGCAAGGGCACATCCCCAGTAGAGGGTGTGCAGGAGACAGCTAATCGGTGTTTCTAACTCTCTATCCCTCTCTCTTCCTCTCTGTAAAAAAATCAATAAAAAAAATTTTTTTTTAAAAGTAGAGGGCCCAAATATTGTCAAGAGTATTTTTTTTTTTTAATTGGGCAATTGACACATTTGCAACATCTACACACCCTTTAAAAACCACGGGCTTAGCTGTGAGGTGGCAGAAATAATGAGCTCCAGTAGGAAGCCACCCCCCGCCCCCTGGAACCAGAGGGCTGGTTTGAGAGCTCCGGCCCTGCTGTTTGCTCTGAGCCCGAACCGCCCATCTGCAGGCTGAGAAACGGACTCCCTGAGGGGCAGAGCGAATTGCTGACGGCTGGGCGAAGGAGGGAAGGGTGAGGCCCCGTGCCCGGGCTGGGGAGGGGAGGCCTGCCACCAGCTGGGCCTCAGGCAGCCCCCGGCCCCTCTCACCGGATCTCGTGGGCCAGCTCCACGCATTTCCAATGCTCCACGGGCCTCTCGTTCAGCTGTAGCACGGTGTCCAGCTGCTGCAGCCCCGCCCTGTCTGCCGGGCCCCCTGCGAGGACAAAGAAAGGACACTCCAGGGCTCCTCAAGCCCACAACCCGCTGGAAGGCCCTGGGGTCCTCTGCTTCCCCAGGGACCCAGGATAAGGACTGCCGTTCTGTTTCTTTTTCTTTTTCTTTTTCTTTTATTTCTTTATTGATTATGGTGTCACATAATTGTCCTCATCCCCCCCTTCCCATCCTAAACCCCTCCCCAGCGATCAGACTGTCGGGCCTCAGAGGGAAGGTAGGGGAGGGGAGGGGCAGAGGGAAGAGATCAACCGAAGGACTTGTGTGCTTGCATATAAGCCTAACCAGAGGTCATGGACAACAGGGGGTGGGAAAACAAGCCAGAGGAAAATCATTTGGGGAGGGGAGGGGGGAAACAAAACGAAAAGGGATCCAAAGTCAAATTCAGTTTCTTCATCTGAGAAATGAGGGGCCAACCTTGGTGGCTGCCAGGGACCTTAGACCCCCTGGAAGTGGACGTGGAGTGGGCCTGGACCCTCACCTATTCACACTTCTCTGCTGACTATCCTTCTAGCCAGTCCCACCCCACTCCCCAGTACCTCCCTCCTCCCACCAAGAATCCTTCCTTGTTACCAGGCTCACACACTTCCTTCACTCCTTCAGCACCTCAACAAGTGCCAGCCTCGTGCCCGACCCCATGCAGGCCCGGGGGTCACCCAGATCACTGAGCAATGGCTTCTCCTCCCGAGATGCTCACTCCGTGATTAGGAGAAACCTTCTCTTTATGAAAAAATAGGAAGGGATTGCCTATACTTCCGTGCTGATCAGGCTTGGAGTAGGATAAAATACCAATTCCTAAACAGAGCTCAGCAATGACTCATGTTCCCCAGGCAGCCATTATTGAAAATATAGGTTTAGTTCCTGTTTGAAATGCTTGGGAAGCCAACATGTAAAAAAATCTATTTTCATTTTGATAAAAACACACACACAAAAAGAGTGGGTATATTTTCATAAGCCTCTGTTTTATCTGTGGTCACTTAAAAATATTATTCTTTTCGTTTTGAAAAAACGAGGCCACATGTTGCTCTACTCTGGGGCTCCCCTTACATTCCAAGACCCACACGCCCGGCGGGAGAATGGGGCTGCGTCACCCAGGACACTCACTTACCCGAGTCCACCGCCTGGACGCGGACCGGAGAGTCACAGCAGATGGTGAAGCCGAAGCCATCCTTTCCCCTCGGGATGGTGATCTAGGACACAGCCCCGCCCAGTTACTCCCAGGAGCCGACCCAAGGTCAGGAAGCCCCCAGGCCCCACCCCAGAGCCACCCTTCTCTCTAACTGGAGCCGGAAAGGAGGCTGGCCAGCCTCTCACCCTTCCTGTATCGGCCCAGGCATCCTGACCACTGGGTTGTGGGCCAAGCAGGCAAGCTGGGAGCTCAGGCCGACGCAGAGGCAGGGATGGAGAGAGCCTTAGAAGGGCAAAGCTCGCCTTCCTCGGCCCAGCTACATGCAGCCCTTCCCCAAAGGCCCACTGGACCTGCACGTCTGCACGTGGCCTGTGACCCACTGCCTGCTCAGTCCCTCTCTCCTTTCCAGAAACAAAGCCAACCTGCACGCTGCCTTCCCAGAGAACGGGAGGAGGAAGACAGGGACACATGCACTCACACCCTCAAGTCAAAGGTCAGAGGGCAAGTGCCGGGTTCTCGAGACAGTCCATCCAATGAGGGCTCCCAGGTGTGGGGGCCGCTGAACCTGAACTGGCCACTGACCTCACTGAGCCTGCCGAGGCCAGGCTGGGCCTTCTGCACTCCGCCCAAAGCCTAATTGGGGGAGCAGGGAGGGGAGAGCACAGTGTGCCCGTGCGCCCATGTGCCCTTGTGCCCAGCAGCTCCACAACCCCTCCTGTCAGAAGGCCCCTGGGAGGGCTGTGCCATGGGGATGCTCTTTACAAGGCAGTTGTTCAGTCCCTGGTCCATGCCAGGCTCTGCTGAGGCGCGGAGCATGGGGCCCGGGTCTCTGGCTCCCAGAGAGACACGAGGGCACACAGATCTTTCCAACGCAAAGCAGGACATGACAGGCATTGCAGCAAAGCACGGAGGCCGAGCTGGGAGTGGCTCTTTGTGCTTGGCTTCGCGCACCGCAGAACGCAGCAAGTGCGAAGTTAATGAGGACAGCCCAGCAGCATCCCACGGCAGCGGGGAGTTTGGGGGGGCTGGGGGGTACAGTAAAGTCTGCTGACTCAATTCAGTTCAGCCTTGCTGTGCTCCCCCTTCCTGCTCCCCCAATTAGGCTTTGGGCGGAGTGCAGAAGGCCCAGCCTGGCCCACCCCAAAGTGATCCCAAGCTGCTGGGAACAGGTGGCATGAAAGCAACAGAAAACGGGCTGCAGGGGGCTCCGAGAGACCCCCCTGGAAGTGGACATGCATTGGGCCCCGTCGAGGCACAGGGCGGGGGTTTCAGGCAGGAAGAAGCCAACTCAGCAAGCCTGGAAAGGCCAGGGCCGCCCGCTGGCCAGGAGAGTCTCTTCAAGGCTAGGGGCCTGGCATTCGCCCGTCAGCTGTCCTCACCACGGTCAGGCATGAGGAAGGGGAGGGCCGGGGGCCCAGGGTGACCAAGGCCCTTGGACGCTGCCAGGAGGCCCCTGAGGCTCTGCTTCCCACCGGCCCTGGGACTGGATTCAAAGCGAGTCTTTAAAACAGGAAATCTGACAGACAAGGGGGTGGGGGAGGGGGCAGGAAAATACCCTGTTCCCATAAGAATTCTGGGAAAATACGCAGCTAAGACAGGAAGAGAAAAAAAAATGGAAAGAAAGAAAGAAAAACAAACGCTGGAGTAAGTGCGGAAAGCCCAGGCCGAGGCCGAGGGATGCTGTCAGGAGCCTGGCCACTCACCCTCAACCCAAACCCAGGCAGAAGCTGGGATTCCAAAGTCCTGCCAGCACTTCCCTAGTCCGACCCCACAAGGGCCACAGTCCCGTTGGCCTCGGTGCAGGCTCTGGACAGAGATCCTAGCCCCGTGGGCATGGTGCTGGCAATGAGGGACTGGCTCCAGAGTAAGGTGAGCAGACGTCCCTCCAAAAGCGGGACATCTGGGCACCTTACTCCAGAGAGGAGTCTGGAGTTGAACTATGTGCTCCAGCAAAACAGCCTCCCACATCCACACCCGGGTGGCACAGTGGACTGGCGCTCCTCTGCCTTCCTGCCCACCAGCCTAAGAGCCAGCCAGGTCCCTGGTCCAACCAGCTGGGGGTGGGGAAGGCTGGGAAGAGGAGCGGGTATGAAGAAGCAGAGGGTGGGACCGAGCGAAGGAGACAGAATTGTTCTCTGGCCATCGTGCGCGCTGGCCACGGTGAAAAGCCGGGACCCTCACAAACAGCCTGATCCTCATGGCTGCCCGGAGTCGGGTGCAGGGCTGGTGTAATATCCCGTGTGAAAGAGAAAGAAAGGGAAGCCTCCAGCTCTCAGTCCCCCTCTCTGACCCCAGGCCCCAGGGTCAGGAGGTGAGGAGAGCAGCCCCCGCCCTGACTCCGGGACCTCGGTGGCAGAGCCGTCCTTCCTGGAGCTGGTCCTTGCTCTTTCCTGTCTGGGGCAGAAACTGCCACCGCTCCTGGATCTCACCCATCACCGCACCTCCCTCTGCCCTCCTGCCTGGCTTCTGCGCCTCTTCCATGCCTGGCCTTCATCTCCAGCCGCCACCGCTCATGGAGCATGCCCGGGGCTGTGGCAGGCGCCACACACAACATTCCCCTTATTCTCCCAGCATCCTCCCTGGGCGTGATCAGCCCTTTCCACCGACGGGGAGACTGAGACTCGGGGAAGAAGAGGGACGTGCTCAAGGGCCACATCGGAAGAAAGGTGGCGCTGGATTTGAACCCAGGTCTGACAAAAAGCTGGTGCTCTCAATGCTGCACTGGTTACTAGTGCAGGCTTGTCTTGAACTTGAACCCCAGAGCCCCAGGCCCAGCCCACACTCATGCCTGGCCCCATTGTGACTACAATGTGTCTGTAGTCCCAAGGTGACCAAGGACTTCTTGACTTCCCATTCTGTAGTCCCTCGGGGCCTCACCACTCCACCACCCTGGTGTGGCAGGGGTGGGAGGGCAGGGAGGGGCCATGCAGGGAGGGAGGGCTGAAGGGAGAACCTGTGGGTCTCTGGCTGTGGGGCCGCCGTGCAGGCAACCCCTCTGGGCATCTCCCTTGGACCTAACGCTGCCTGCCCAAAGGAGTCAAGTCCCAGGCGTCAGTCTGTGCATTCGAGCACACAGAGGGACTTCTCTAGTTCACAGTCAGAACAGTTTCTTAGCTCCCATTCCCAAAATCTGGACATCCCTCGCCTGCACCCTCACTGACCCCATGGCTTTATTTTTTTATAAGGAAAAATGTTCATCCCAGTTCCAGAAGAGGCTCAGAGACTAACGGATCATCCTAAGACTGGAGGCTGAGGCCAGACCCCCCGCGGTGAACTTGGGCTCCAGAGCCAGAGGGCTCCGGATCCGCCTCAAGGTATCAGCGGGGAGAAAAATCGTGTGTGCATGTCCATGGGTGAGCACGTACAAGAAAAATCGTACGTGCGCACATAAACACAAACGTCCTATCTCACATACAAGCACCCACTGCCACAGGCAGAAACAGTCACACAATCACACACGCGCGCACACACAATGCAGAGCAGGCACTGCTGTCCCGTCGGAAGCAGGGAAAGTTCGCAAAATTACAAAGTTAGCAAAAAAAAAACAAACAAACAAAAAAAAAAACCCCAGCTGCTCGGCAACTTAGCTACTTCCATTCTCAGGCTTGGGACACTCCTTGAACAACCACGCTCCCACAAAATAAGAAAACACAGAAAATCAATCAATAATCTCACGAGGGACACCACCCGGCCACTGGTTAGGACAGCACCAAGCTGGACCCCATCCGCCCCTAGAGAGAGGGGCAGCGGGCAGTGGCTGGGTCTCCGGTCCAGCTACTGCCTCTGTCCTCCCCTAAATCAAAACGAACCTGCAAGGCGCAGGAGGGGACAAGGACGGCCATAAGGGGAGAGAAGTCCTGCTAGGCTAAGCCCCCACCCCTGACCCCCAATGACACCCCATGCCGCCCCTCAAAGGGCCGGGCACCCACCTGGCGGTAGCGGCGCTCCGAGCACACCTTGCAGAGCCCGTTGAAGCGGTTCATGGCTGCAGGTCCCGCTCCGCTGCTGCCCCATGAAAACCCGGCTCTCCCCCAGCAGCCGGAGCCCGCACTGCGCCCCGCCAGCCTGGCATGACCGCCCTGGGAAGCCCGCCCCGCAGAAGAATGGCAGGAAATCACCTCTCACCTCCCCAGGCCCTGTCTGTGCTGTGTGCCTCTGCATGATAAGCCCGAAGGCTTCCTGAAACCTCAGAATGACAAGGAAGAGGGAGAGTTTTATATTAAAATTCCTGTCAACTAGTTAGTATTCCCCGGGCCCGGCGGGGAGAGGGCGCCTTTGTTCTGGCTGCGTGCTCCGCCACGGGCCACGTTGTGATCACAAACACCCCGGGTTCTCACAAACACCCCAGGTTCTCACAAACACCCGGACACAGGAGAGGCCGGGCAGAAAGCACGGCCCACTCCACACCAGGGCTGCCTCTGCCCGGGTGCAAATCCCAGGGTCCCCACCGCAAGGCCAGGGGCCCAACCCAGCCTACGGAATGGAAGCATGGGTCAGGGGGCTGCACTCTCAGGCGTACCAGCTCACAACAGGGAACATGAAACATTTGGAGTCTGAGGACCTGCCTGCCCCTCAGCCTCTACTTAAAAGCCAGTTTCCTTGTAAGCAGAGTGGGCTGCTTTCCGGTCTGACTGGCCCATAAAGGCAAATTGGGAAGAGTTTCCAATCACCAGATGACCCAGCCTCTTCATTTTATTTATTTTTTATTTTAAAATATATTTTATTGATTTTATTACAGAGAGGAAGGTAGAGGGATAGAGAGTTAGAAAATCGATAAGCGAGAAACATTGATCAGCTGCCTCCTGCACACCCCCCACTGGGGATGTGCCCGCAACCAAGGTACATGCCCTTGACAGGAATCGAACCTGGGACCTTTCAGTCTGCAGGCCGACACTCTATCCACTGAGCCAAACCGGTTTCGGCTGGCCTCTTCATTTCACCCAGGAAGAATTGGAGGCCTGGAGCAGTCAAGGTCACACAGCTGGGTAAGATGCAGCTGGGACCAAAACTCCATTCCTGTCCCCTGTCTTGTAGCACCTGATGAGCCTACACCCGCCTCAGGGTCCCTGGAGAAACCATCCACCCACCCACATCCTGGATGCCTGAGCATATCCCTTCATCCAGCTCAGCTTTGGTTGTCACTCTAGTGGACAGGTCACCCAGGTCTCTAGACCTCCATCTCCCCATTCGCACAATGGACAAGTTGAACAGGTGACTTTTGGGGGGTTCTCTCGCCCACCCCCAACAAAACCTCCAACAGTCACGCCCACTTGGCTGAGTCCTACAGACAACTTCGAGTGTGCACGCCCCGGAAAATCAAAGGCGCCTCAGAACCATGCGCCCTGGGCTCGGGCCTGTGTGTAGAGGCAGGGCTGTCCCCAGCCACCTGGAAACCTGCAGTGTTGGCGTCCCCGTGACCCCCACAGATCACCAGCGAGGCTCCCTGCGCACTGTCCTCTGTGACCAGCAAGTACAGAGAGAGGGAGGGAGGCCACTGCAGGTCTCCTACTGAAGCCAGAAGACAGCTCTAAACTACTAACAACGTCACACAGAAAACAGTAACTGACCAGTGTTATCCAATACAGTGGCAATCAGATACAAGTGCAAGGTGAATTTAAATTCAAGTTGAATAAACGTCAGGACCTCAGCCAGACTAGCCATGTTTCAGGCGCTCCAGAGCCACAGGCAGGCAGTGGCTGGCTACCATATTGGAAAGCATGGCTGCGGACTGTTCGCTCCATGAGGGCAGGGACATCCGAACCATGCACATCCCCCTCTTCTGTGAGACAGGGAAGTGGCAGCCCCCTCGGAGGTGGGAGGTGGGATTAAATTCAATAACAACAGCACCTGGCACACTGGGCTACTCAGTCTCTGGGACTTTGTTTCTCCCTGTCTGTGTTGCTGAAGAAATCCATGGCCTACCTGCCATGTTCTGCAAAGAGACAAAATGAATCTGGGGCCATTCTCCCATCCCTATGTGAAGGCTCCTCCCTGGATTCAAAGCCCTGATGGAGCGAGAACCATGGGTCTCAGGGTGAGACTCCTTGACATGGAGCAGCCCTAACTTGAGAGGAGAATGCGGCCTCGGTTCCAGGGAAAGCAAGGTGTGTGCGGAGGCCTGTGGGGAAGGGAGGACTCAGCTTCAAGAGGCTGAAAGTCAAGAAGATCTGATTCCTCCATTTCCAGGGCAAGGGCCTGGCTCTCCCCGAGCTTGAGGAGCCAGAGGAGAGCTTCAGAAATAATCCCTCAAAAATGCACACTTGCTGAGTTTCCAGGCACCCAGTGCTGTCCTGTTTAGGGGTCTCCGGGGCCAAGGGACTGACCAAGAGCAGGTTCTAACCCGGAGCAGTGCTCAGGCCCATGAGTTCAACGCAGGCTGGTCCGCACCTACCTTAAGTTCTTCCCCGTTCTCAGTGTCCTCACCTCCTGGCATTCTCAGCAGCGGGTCTAGGAGGCAACAGAGCGGCATCAGAAAGTGTCTGCTGGCATGTAAGGGTCCATCCCACAGACCACCCAGAGGACCAGGCCCGAGTGGCAGGCCCATGTGGCTGCCCACGTCACTCCTGGCCTCCAGGACGTGGGGATGCCCGAGCTCGGGTCAGGCAGGGGCTCAGGAGCCATGACTATGTGTGGGAGGGACAGAACAGAGGAAATGCAAAATCCAAGTCCTGAACCTCGGGACTCATGGCCAGGCCCACGGGCCCTGACCACAGAGGTGGGTTAGCAGGGCAGCTGGAGAGGATCCTGAGGCGACTGGCCCTGGGAATCAGCCCATGTAGGAAGCTCCCGAAGCCCACCCTCCCTGAGCTAGGGGTGGCACCGAACCACGTGGGATCAGACTCTAACCCTATCCAATCCAGCCACATACATCAGGGTACGTGGGCAAGAAGCTCCCTGATGCCCACATGCTAGCAGGGCTTCGAGAGAAGTCCCTGGACCTGAGATCTAATCATAGCTGGGATGACATCTGCCACAAAACACAGGCACTGATGCTGCTGCCCAGGAAGGGAAGGGGGAGGTCCGGGGGGGGGATGGGGGGTGGCAGCACATCTGGGCAGAAGCTGAGGTGGTGTGCAAATACCTCTCAGGGGTCGCAGTCGCCGCCTAGCCACCTTCAGGTGCTTGGTCCGGCCCAGGTCCTCCCCCAGAAGGTAGTACCAGCCACTGATCTCCTGTCACAAGAGAAGACATGACACACTCAGAGGAGGCAGAGGGCACAGGTCAGGCAGCCACCAATACCCCTCAAAGAGCAGCAGCATCTCTGCAGAGATGGACACCCCAGCGTCTCTTCCCCAAAAGTAACTGTTGTGACTACACCTCCAGGAAGCCTTCCCTGATGCAGTGAACAGAGCTGGTCCTCCCTTCTGCTGAATTCCCACAGTTTACTTGCATACCTACCTCCCCCACTAAGCTGTGAACAGACTCCTTGATGTGCCTGGTATACAATAGGAGCCCAATAAATGTTGACAGAAGGGAGGGAATGAAGGATGGAGGGAAATGCCAGAAAGTAGGCATCCTGAGGCTCCTGAGCAGTCTCCAGGGTGGAACATCTTCTCCCAACAGGGAACGAAGCCCAGGTTGCAATCAAGACATTTGGGACCCTTGCCGAAATCAGTTTGGCTCAGTGGATAGAGTGTCGGCCTACAGACTGAAAGGTTCCCGGTTAGATTCCAGTCAAGGGCATGTACCTTGGTTGCAGGCACATCCCCAGTAGGGGGTGTGCAAGAGGCAGCTGATCAATGTTTCTTTCTCATGGATGTTTCTAACTCTCTATCCCTCTCTCTTCCTCTCTGTAAAAAATCAATGAAATATATATTTTTTTTTTAAATAAAAAGACATTTGGGACCCACATACAGGATAAAGGGTTCTCGGCCACCTGCCCAAGACCTTGCTGCCAGGACACTAAGCTGGGTGACAGGGCTACCTGGCAACACTGTGTGGCAGGCCATCGGGACATCACCAGGGACGCACAAAAGAAGCATGTCCCTCTCCTGCTCAAAAGCCTCCAGTTGGATGAGGGACGGGCTACCTGGGGGAGAGGTCTCTAGACCCCAAGGAGGCCTCACCCAGCCAGAAGGATAGCTCCATGGAGGATGTTCACTCCACCCCTGGGTACCTGCTTGGCCCCAAAACACAAGCCCTGGTAGATGACATCGCAGTGACCTCTGGGGCATACCATGAGTACCTGGTCCTCCTCCTCCAGGAAGTCCCAGGAGTCCTCTGAGCTTCAAGGGACCTACCCGTGTCCTTAAGGGCAGACACCAGAACCAGAGTCCCCTGGGAGGACTTGGGTCTCCTAACAACTGCTCTGTGACAAAAAGAAATCAAGAAGGGACCCAAACCCTTGGCACATAGATGACAACTGCAGTGTTGTTATTCAGGCCACCGGGCACCGGTCTAGCACAGAAAGCAGCCCTGCCCACGGGCTTCCAGACAAAGCAGCTCGGCCTAGGTGGGATGACCCTGCCAGAAGCTTCCCGAGGACTCACCTTGTCTGGAGTCAGGAGAGACCTCACCCCGAAGCTCATGCAGCCGATGAGTCCGCTCTGTCTGGGAGAACAACACAGACGTACGTCAGCACCTTAAGTCAGGAGATCGTTTACCAAGTGTAGGGTGGATTTGTCGGATGCACTGCGGTTTACATCATCTCATTTGACCTTTCCAACTTTCATGAGTTAGGCTGGAGGAAAGTTATTTCTCCATTTCACAGATGGAAAAACAGAGGCTCAAAGTTGGTCCCCTTTCCAAGGTCCCTGAACTAATCAGTAGCAGTGTCCCGTGGGAAACCCAGGGGTTCCAGGTCATGGGGCGGCACTCCCTCCATCCGCCACAGAAGCTCAGAGCTACCTCACAGGTTTTAACTGCTCTGGTGCCAGTAGATCCAAAGAACTGGTCCCCCCAGAAAACTGCAGCTTCCATATTAGCTGATGGTGCTCAACTGAGGACAAAGGTTACGAGAGCACAAGCTCAAGAAGCTCTGTCTCGGGTCCAGGCAAGACCTGAGCAGATCCTGGACAGTCTCAGATCAAGATCAAATGCAACAGAAAAGTCGACGAGAGCAACCTGACCGGGTGGCCAGGAGGACAAGTAGGCATGAACCAGGATCAGGCCTCGAGGGGATGTCACTGTGGCGAAAGGCTGAGGTCCTTCTTGGTTAAGAGTCATTCAAAGTTCCTTGAAGACGGTCCATTATTGAGTCCCAACAGTCAGGGACTGATGGATACTTGGCAGCTTTCAATAATGATGGCAAAGATGAATACTAATGAAATGCAAAAAGAAAAATCTCGCTACTGTGAGAAAAGGAAATTCACAAATCTGTCCTTTCATGAGGAAAACGCCCACAAAAAAATATTCACAATGGATGTTAATGAGAAACGCCCACGAAAATTAATAATGATTGTATCTGGTAGGCGGGATTAGCGGAGGTTTTGTTTTCTCTGGGTTTTCAGTGTTTCCCAATTTTCTTAGGGAACAAGCAGTACTTTTATAATCAGGAAAAATAAAAAATAAAACACAGTATAAAGGTATTGGCAAGTGCTTCTATTCTACAGCATCGTTCTCCATCCTAACACCGGAGTTGCTTTTTAACTTTTCTATTCTCTCTCCTAGCACATCCCTGACTCCGACTCCTTCAGATTGGTTTACTGTTAATCAGGAAAGAACATGGGTATTTGGACTGGAGCACAGCCCTGGTGGCTGACGTCAATGTCTGAAAGACCCACTCGGATCTAGCATGTTCTGTGGAAGGCACAATAGCAGAGCCAAGATGGCCTGAGCTCCTAGATGGGCAGTGAACTCCCTGGGGATGTGTCTCCTTGGCACCTGGTCTAAGGGGCCTCAGCGAGGTTGGTGGCTAGAGTCAGGGGGTGCACCCCAGAACCCCCTGAAGTGCCTGCCCACATCCTATGCCCCAGAGCCTGCTCCCGGAGATCCGGACCCACAGTCTCAGGCGGGGTCCAGGCAGGTGAGTCTGGAGAAAGCACCTGCCATGCCTGCCCCAGGGAAGGACCAGTGGTCTAGAAGGCCTGTAGAAATGCATATTGTTTGCATTCTCCAGAAAGGGTGGCAGCTCACTGCCTAACAATCCGAAGCAAAATAAAACTGGCTTCTTGAGGGTAACCACGCCAAGGGAGGGGCAGAGATGCAGAATGCCGGGGCCTCGGCCTCACACCAGCGAGCCTGCCCTGCAAATTCTGCCCCTGGCCTGGTCCCACCGGCTACTCTTACTCTGCTGCACCGCCTGCTCTCACTCCCTGCCCCATTTCCTGCAGCCTGGACTCCACCTGCTCCTCCCCTCTTTCTTGCCCCCTCCCATCATACACGGCCATATTAATAATCCACCCAAAGAGGACAGGGTGATCACCCCAGTAAAGTGACCCTTCCACAGTCCCCTCCCAAGCCCACCACCACCAACAAACACTCCTCCCTCCTGGCAAGTGGCCGAGGCAGCACTGACGGGGAGAGGCAGCTGCCGGGACCGTCACAAGCGCAGATGCTGCCCTGAGCTGCCATTCCACAAAAGCCTTGTCGAGGCTTTGCCAAGGTCCTCATCACCAATTTAATTTTGTTTGTCAACACATGCAAGAGCAGGCCAGCTGGCACCTAGTGCCCACATGTTCCTTCTACACTGGGCATGGCTGTAACACTCTGAGTCTCCAGGCACAATGCTCCTGCTGTAATAAAGGCTGCCGCTCCCTGCTCTCCGGGAAGTTCAGTTTTCACTCCCTGGTGCTTAGAGAAGGCTAAATGGTTAATAGCCTTCTAGGAGCGTTGCTTCCTGCTAAGGGGCCTGCAATGACTTCATGATAATTCAGGCAGAGTAAACTGTCACAATTCATGTCCATAAGCAGGACCCTCCCTCTGAGTGTTTTTCAATTGGGCACTTCTTAGACCTGCTTTTGAAAAAAATCTCTGGAGGGAGAAAGACTTCTTTTGCATGTCACCTGGGTGCACAGCAATATACCAGTCAGCTTATAAAACCAGGAACAACATGCACCCTGGGCTGCCTGAAGTTTTGCGAGGAACCAAGCCTTGGTGACTTCTGGTTGCCGAGCCCTAAGCACAGGGGTTGGTGCACTCAGTGAAGACTTGACAAATGGATGAATCCATTATGCCCATGGTTGTCAGGCACTGGGCAAGGAGCCACAGCATCTATACTAATAATAGAGTAATATGCTAATTAGACCAGGAGACCTTCCAGGGAGGGCAGTTGAGGGCAAGCAGGATGGCAGGCAGAGTGGTTAGGGGCAATCAGGCAGGCAGGAAGGTGAACGGTTAGAAGCCAGTGGTCCCAGATTGCAAGAGGGATGTCCAACTGCCGGTGTAGGCCAGATACCACACACACCAGCAGTCAGACATTCCCCCAAGGGGTCCCAGATTGGAAAGGGTGCAGGCTGGGCTGAGGGGCACCCCCCTCAGCCACTAGTTAAGGAAGTAAGACAAACATGCAGAAATTTAAATGGCAGTTCAGGCCAGCAAAACAGGGATGTCACTAGACAGGGCAAGGTGGACAGATGAGCAGTGCAGGAAACAATGATGAAAGCTCAGGAGGCAAGAGGTAGTTTAGGGCTAAGGTGCTTGAAGAAGGCCCAAAGAGTTAAGCCTCAGAGAGTGAGAGTGAGAGTATTTTAGGCAGAGGCTCAGGGTAAGGCTTCATGGAACACTCAAGGGGAAGAGTGCTTGGCTCCGTTTACTTTTGAGCATAAAGTAGGAAACCTCCGCAAGGCAAAAGGCATTGCTATTTTGAGGGGGTGCCCTTCCATTCCATCTCAGGGACCTTGAACTATTTCTGTGGCAGGGCTACTCCATTTAATCTCAATTTATTTTTAATTTGATGGGTTAAATCGAACCCATTTTCCCATTCATTCTTTCTTTCCTTAGGCTCAGTTCCCATCTCTGGTCACAGGCTTCCTAACATGACAGCACTGTGCTCGGCACTGAGGTCCTGTTTATGAAAGGAGATTCAAGGAGAGAGCACGTGCGGAGTACCCATGACCGTGCGACACGGAGCAAGCAGGCTCTCCATACATGTAGAATCTACATTGTAGATGCTCCTAACATAAACGAGTATGTCCTGCGGGCTTTTGTGCATGCTGCTGTTGCTGTTTTTAACTTGGTGCATGACATTACAAATCTAAGCTTGTACTCTGGCCCCAAGTTCTGAAAATGCTATGAGTAGAAGCTTCCATTAGGCTTTCACCATACCATCCAACAAAACTTTTAAATAGCTCGGTTCCACAGTCAGTGATATTAAGGAATTACTGTCAGTTGTTAAACATGATAATGGCATTGTGGGTTTGTTGGTATTTTTTTAAGCCATCTTTTATAGAGATATAGAGATGAGATGAGATGAGGTCTGGGATTTGCTTTAAAATAATCCATGGGAAGAGGGGAAGTGAGTAGGGCCACAGATGAAACAAGACTGGCCACGTATTGACAATTGGTGAAGCTGGGCTAAGCGGAGGAGGGTTTATGCTGTGATATTTTCTACCCTTCCATACGTTTGAAATTGTCTACGCCTTCTTAAAAACTCTCAGAACCTGACAGCTGAAAGGCACCTTAGAGGGCGGTGCATTTTACAGACGAGGAAACGGAGGCCCAAAGCAAGGAAAGGACTCACCACAGACTCACAGCAAGTCTGAGCGAGGCCAAAATCTAGTGTTCTGAGCCAGTTCTCCTCCGCTCCCACTGTGATCACCAGGAAGAGTGGGAGTCAGCCGGCTCTCCCCCAGAACATCTTTGCAGAGCATCTTGTTTCCCTAACTCAAGTTCATGGTCATCACTGGAAAGATCGTGAGAATCAATGAAATTAGTGCCTCCCTTGTATCTCCTATCATCTGCAAAATGTAACTGCCACATGTTCAGCTGGAAGGCACATAAAACGACGTTATAAATGCTATGGAAAGTACATATACTGACACAGGAAACATAGAGTTTGGGAGTCACTTATCACCTGTGTGAGACTGTCAAGTGTACTATCACGTGGTCACCAGGACATGAGTTTGGCACCAGACTGCCTGGATTTGTATGTTATTTTCATCACATCTTAGCTGTGTTATCTTGGGCAAGTTACTTAGCCTCTCTGTGCCTCTGTTTCCTCACCTGTAAAAGAGCAACCATAATCTCTACCTCATTTGGTGTTATGAGGATTAAATTAGATAATGCTTACTAAATTACTTAATAAACATGAGCTGTGACATGTCCTCAGTCAAGTTCCTGGGCCTTCAGAAGCCTCACTTTCCTCCTCTCTGAAAAGAGGGACAGTAATAATTCCTACCTCTCGGGGTTGCTATGAGGATTAAATGAGATAATGTATGCAAAGTGCTCTGCACAGAGAAGAGTTCAATAAATGTTGGTTTCCTTCCTCCTGTAATTGTCTGTCACGTTGATGAGTTGAATGTCCGTCCTTCAGAGAAGCACAATTTGATTTGAGAGCGAGGAGCAGGGTAGAAGTTTCCTGCGATCGCTCTGTCTGCCTCCTCCCGCTCAGAAGCCTCCTGGGTCGGATGATGGATCAATACTGCGCCTCCCACCGGCTGAGCCCTGAGCCCTGAACCGCTGAGCGGGTGGCTGGCGCTGACAGCTTTGTTCAGCAGGGCCCTCTGTTCCGAAAGGCAGGCCTGTCTGAGCCTGCTCTGTCCCTCCTGAGCTTCGGGTTGGGACTGTGACCACAAGTTCAACTGTTTTGTTAATAAGGAATCTCACTTTCCCAAAATAGGCAACAAGTGGAGACACTCACTGCCTCTGTCACGCTGTCCTGCTGACTCACCCTCCGGCCTCACCTTCTTTTCCAAAAGCTGCGAGCTGCATTGCTGACGTCTCCAGCAGCCTTGGGCTTGCCCTGCTCTCCCAGGAGGGTGGCTCCCGGTGGGGGAAGCGCCAGCTCCCAGTGTGGGGTCTGCCGCCAGCACCTGCTCCACTCCTTGCCTCCACCCAGTGGGCATGTGTCTATTGTTTCTCTGAGCCCCTCCTCTGTCACTTCCCAGCTTTCCCTTCAAGACAGGATTCTGACCCGTGGTCCCCGGCACTCACTTTCTTCCCGGGCAATCTGACCTGCTCAGAATGGCACCCACCACCTCGGCGGTCCTGGCTTTCACATACTCGCATGAGCACAGACCCCCCTCCTCCCCTGAGCTCCACGAGAGCACAGACAGCCCCTCGCAGCCCTTCCCCGGCTGCGGTCCACGCACCTCCACCTCACCGTACCCAGAGCTGGCTCCCTTCCCCTCCGGGACACGCTGGCTTAGTCGGGGACACCACCCAACACCCAGGAGTCATCCTTGACTTCTCCCACCTGCTCTCACGCCCAGATCACCAGTAAGTACTATCAGTTCATCTCCTATGTCCTGGGTCTTGTTCCCTCCCCTCTATCCCTAAATCGCCTCTCTCACGGATCACCACAAGAATCTCCTGGTTCCTCCCCAACCTTCCTAAGATCTACCAGAATGATAGCTCTAGAATGCACATCTCTCATTCCCTTGTTCAACACCCTTCGGTCCCTCCCCAGTGCCGGATTACCAGACACCAATCTGGCTGCATAAGGCTCCCCATGAGAGCTTGTGCAAATGCAGATTCCTAGGCCCTGCCCATGAAGATTCGGTGGCACCTGGGAATCTGGGTTCCTCACAAGCATCCCAGGTGATTCTGATATATATATATTCAGGATTGAGAACCACTGGCCCTTGGAAGAAAAACCCTAAGGATTCATCAGATTAGGCTTTTGACTATTTCTTCATCTTACCTCTAGCCAGTCCCTACTTTGTACTTGACCTCCCAGCAAGGCCAATGAGTTTGTAGATCCCTCTACACTCTTGCCCTGTCCCCTCCCCTCTACTGGTTCTTCCTTCTGTCCTTTCACTTGAGCAGCGAGGAGACAATACAGCGTTGAGAGTGAGGACTCTGGGGTCTAACTGCCTGGGTTCCCACCCTGGCTCTACTGTCAATGTCTGTATGACTTTGGGCAAGTTACTTCCTCCTTAGCTTCAGTCTCCTCTTCTGAAAACTTAAGATAAAAACGTACTCCCTTTAGAGTCGCTTTGTGAATTAAATGAGGTAATACACTATTAACACCTGTCTTGTGGTCAACACCCAGTAAACGGTTGCTCCTATTTTTAAGGCAATGTCCTCCTCCTCACCCACCTCCACCTCAAGTCTCTATCAGTGATCCTCTCGAGAGCAGGATGGTCTCTGATCGGCCCCATGTATCCCCAGAACCTACGACAATGTTGCCACATTGGCACCCAGGAAATGGCAGCTCAATGAAGGAGGCCCACAGCACCATGAGCTCCATTCCATGATTTTTTAAAAATAGATTCTCTATTAAAAGGCAATTCCTTCCTTATGAAGGTTAAATAAGGCTCAACTTTAGAAAGATAATAGCTATAAAATTTAGGGTATTAGTCTAACCGGTTTGGCTCAGTGGATAGAGCGTCGGCCTGCGGACTCAAAGGTCCCAGGTTCAATACTGGTCAAGAGCATGTGCCTTAGCGTGGCATGCAGTAAGGGGCATGCAGGAGGCAGCTGATCGATGTCTCTCTCTCAGTGATGTTTCTAACTCTATTCCTCTCCTTTCCTCTCTGTAAAAAAATAAATAAATAAATAATCAATAAAATATATATTTTTTAAAATTTAGGGTACTAAAAAGCATTCATCCTTAAAATATTGTCTGGGCCTAAGAAGGTGAGTTGAGCTAATTTACAGACATTTTACAGACACCATTTGGTTCTATGGTTGCTTGACAAATGTTACCGGCCACAGGGCCTCCCAGATTTCTTCGGCTGCACCAGGTGAATGAGCCCCTGCAGCTCCCAGTCGGCTGTGACCATCAGTCAAGTGCTCTCATCCCCTTTCCTTCACAGCGATCCTCACCCTCCGTGCCCCGAACTCCTCCCCTGCTCCATACTAAACGCTATCACTAATGACTGTAGCTGGCCTCCAGCATGCTGCAATGCAGCCTGCTTGGAGTCTCCTACACAAAACTCCTGCATCTCCTAAACTGGCCTCCCACGGCAGCCCAAGCCCTCCGCACACATGCCTGCCTCCTGGCCTTTGCTCATGCTGTGCCCCTGCCTGGAAGACCTTCCGACCTTCTCTCCTTGTCTTGTTCTCGATCTCTGCCCCAAGCTCAAAACCCCCCTTTCTGCATGAAGGCTTCCTTGGCCACCTCAGCCTACAATGAACTCTCTCTCTCTGCCCACATTGACTGTCCTACTATTCATTTCATTCTTTTATTCATTGAACCAACAGACACTACACTTCCGTATGCCAGGCACTTGGCACAGTGGGTGCGTAAGAGAGAAATGGGCCCATTTTTCATGGAGCTTCTACTCCCGTGGTGCTGAGCCTGTGCATGCTGTTACTCTAATTTCTGTCCTGGTGTCCCTTACTGACAGGAGGTGTCCTGAGAGCAGAAGGTAGGTAGGTTGCATCCCTGGTGGCCATCACCGTGTCTTGCTGGCGCCAAGGGCACGGCAAACGCTCTCTGATAACACGATCCTTGGCATCACCTGGAGTGACGGGGACTTGGTGGCACATTTGGCTTTGCTACGGCTGGTCACTCATCCACTAACTGAGCCCCTGGCGTATGCTGGCCACCTGGCTGCCACCCACAGGCCCCGAGCAGGCCCTCTCCTCCAGCTCAGCAGCGCCCCTCACCTGGAGTCGCCCGCCCTGTTCCACACTGCGACCAGGAGGCGCTTCGGTTCGTCTTCCTCTCGGACAGGACTGCAAAGCAAACCAGGCAGATGGTCAGAGGGTTTGCAGAGCTGAGCTCCAGACCAGACCCCATGGCGTCCAACACAACTGCAAAATTTGGAAATGACTTACACCTCCAACCCTGAGGAGCTGTTTGAAAAACCCAAGCACAGTAGTGTGGGAAGTGAGTACTGACATACATAGAAGAGTTTGCATTATGTTATTAAGGACAAAAGGGAGGTTCCCAGACAATATTATAGAACAATTCAATTTTTATAAACACACACACAGGGAGAGACAGGGAGAGACAGAGAGAGAGAGAGAGAGAGAGAGAGAGAGAGAGAGAGAGAGAGAGGGACCTCCTCCCCACAAATTCAAAGATCTGAAAAAGAAATAAATCAAGACATATCAGTGAGTAGTAGGGCTGGAAGGATTTTTCTCTCTTCTCCGTTTTGTTTATCTATAACTGCTACTTTTTCTATAATAAGCAAAACTACCTTGGGAGGTTTGAAAAACAACAAACACATTGTTAATCTGCACTAGCAGAAAAATCCAAAATGCTCATGACCTTCCCATCGAGTTTAGGCATCGAGGAAAGAAATACTAACAAACAACACTCAGTGTTCCTGTCTCATCCACACCTCCGCTTTCTCGGGTTGGCACTATTATTGGCCCCGTTTTACAAATAAGGAAGCCAGGGCTCGAAGAGGTTAGCAAGTTTTAAAACGAGGGGGGTGTAGGCAAAACATCCCTCAGCTTGGAAAATTCCTTCTGCCTCAGGAGAAAGCTTGGCGCGCGGCACAGTGGGAAGTCGCCTTCTCCTCAGGGGCTGCCAGTCTCAGGCTGGGCATTTGAATGATGAGAACCAGCCAAGTGAGACCTTATCACCGAGGACCTCACGGCCGGGCCAGATGCCAGGGATGCAAGGACACGGTGAATGAGAAAACAAAGACATCCTTTCGAAGTCACTGTTTTTCTGCTGAGATCTAGTTCTAGATTTGGCAGACAGAGCTGTTTCCAGATAAACACTCCTTCCCGCTCCTGACGGGGGCCCAGCCGCCCCGCATTCTTACAAGAAGAAGTGCTCGTGGAAGGCTGGGTCTCTGCAGTCTGGAACTGTCTGTGTCTTCTGACAGCACAGCCCGGGGTCTTCGGGGATCAGAGAAATCTTACATTGGAGAAAAGGAAGCATTAGGTGATTGCTTGTGGCTAAACCGTCACCTAGGCCCAGAGGCCGACTCTGCACATCTGCAGTGGAAGGCTCCCCAGCCTCTGAAGGGGACACGGTGGCATCCTCAGCCAGATGCTGGGAAAGAGCGAGGGGCCCCAGGCCAGAGGTGGACTCAGACACCTCTGATTCCCCCTAGTGGGGGGTAGCAAGAAGGCAGCCAGAGGCCCAGCCAGAGATGGGGTACAGCTTGACCATGTCTGCTCTTTCTCAAGCAGAGAGGTGGCCCCCAAAACACAGGCTTCCTCTCTTCTAAGTTCCCCTTCACAAGAGGCTCCTGGTTTCCCTGCCAAGCCCCCCACTCCATGCTCTCACCCTAATGCGTTCACCAGCTGCCTCAGGCTCCCACCCTGCTCCTGACCGAGTCCTTGCCCACAGGGACCTCTGACCAGCGTGGCACTAAGGTTGCCACCCTCTGGGAGGCATCTGGCTTTTGGTTCTGGTTACAAGTTCCCCACCCCATGGGGCCTCTGTCTCCTTGCAAGAGCCCCACTTGGATGGACCTTCCAGCTCTCGGAGACTCTCCCTCCATTCCACCACCCAGATCTGGCCATCCTGCCTCCCTCTGGTTTGGAGAGGGGGAGGGGGAGGGCTTGAGATCATCTGTGGATTTCTGCCCTCCACGTGCTCACTGTGCTCACTGAGTGGATGACCAAGCTCACCCGGAAGATTCTCACTCTTGCAGGACCCTAGGGACCAAGCCAGGCTAAGGGGAGGGGTCTATCCTAGCTCAGGGCTTCGCCCTGGAACAAAATAAATGCCTACTGACTGAATGAGGCGGCAGTCACTGCTTCCTCAAATGGCCCCAGGCCCACAGATGCGGGGCCTTGAGACTCAGTCCATAGCATGGCTCTTCCCCACCCCCAGCCCCATCCACACCCACCCTGACCTCCACTTACCTTCACGTAAGGATCACAGGTGCCAGGCTCTCTGCTCATCAGACCTTTGCCTTCCATGACTAAACAGAGAAGTAAAATGTTGGAGTGTGTGAGTGGGAAAGATTACTACCAGGCCCTTTTTTAAAAAAAAAGTTTTTTATTTTAAATAAATCTTTATTGTTCATATTATTACAAATGTTCCTCACTTTTCCCCCCCCCCTTCATTGCACCAGGCCCTTAAGGCACATAACCACCATTGGACATTAGCCCCTCTCTGGTCTGGTCCACTCCCACCATCTCGCACCCTCAGGTAGCACCCTCAGCGAGGCAGCATAGGGTGCATTCAACCTCCTGATTCTGACAGCTGGAAGGGAACAAAATTTATTGAGTCCAACCCTCATTGAAAGGGGAAGATGAGGCTGGGGGGAGGGAGGGAAAAGACAGTAAGAAACTTGTTCAAAATCACAGAGCAGTGGGGTGACAGAGCCATGTTCCTTAATTCCTAGGCCAGTGGTTCCTTCCACCACACAAGACTGCGTCCTGGGAAGGGAGGGGCTACGCTGGAGAACGCACAGTGCTCCATAGTCTGTGCCGTGGCTGACGGACGGTATAGCACAACAGGCGAAGGTCTGGGTCCAGAGGTCAACAGGCCTGAGGATGGACCCCAAGCCCTGCCACTGACTAGCCACGTCAGCCCAAGCAAGTAGCTTCCTCTCTCTAGGAATGAATTTGCCATATTTTAAAAATGGGTGTGTGATCATACTACTCACTGGACTGGGTAGTGGTGCTGATTAAATGAATTAATGTGTCAAAAGTGGTTAAGAGAATACCTGGCAAGTAAAAAAAAAAAAAAACTGCTCAACAAATGTTTGTTGAAGAAAAGAATAATAAGTAAAGGCAAGGGATGCGTGAGGGTGGGGTTCAGGGCTGGTTATGAAAGCAAGCACGGCCTGTTGGCCTGAGGTCTGCAGAGATCTGACAGCGGACCTGACAGAAGCTGAGTCTCTTTTCTATTTTCTTCTGTGTTCGGTTTTGATGGAACCCTGGGCTTTGGCTCAGATAAGCTCCCTAGGCCTGAGCCTGAGGCCTGAGGCCTGGGAAACCAGCGGAGAGAGGGCAACGAGCTGGACGGGATGAAGGCCTTTGGCTGGGGGGAAGCCAAAGCAAACTGTGCAGGACAAACGAAGCGCCGGAGGCCAACACGCATTCTGCAAAAACTGTTTGCACAGCTGGAGCCAGGCTCTGGCGGGCAAAGGGCCCCCCTCGGCTGGTCCTTGGGAACTTCACCTAGGGCCCCCCCCAAGGCCAAGACCCCAGGATTCCAGGCGCCTGCTGGTTTATGCTTCCTGGTATCCTAGTTACTATTCCTGCATGCATCCTTCCCCTCAAGGGTGTGGTCCCTGAGGCCAGGATCCCGGCACGCTGAGCTCTGGGTCATTCTGGCACTCAGGGGATGCACTCCCAGAGCCGAGGAGAAGACCACGGTAACACAGGGCAGTCAGGGCTGTGAGGAGGACACAGGGGAGGAAGCAACAAACAGCCCAGGAGGTGATTCCTCCCCAAGTCTCCAGGATGGTGAAGGCAGGCATAGGTCTTACAAAATCAGAGGAAGAGGGAGTCATTTTTTTTTAATCCAATTTATTGGGGTGACATTGGTTAATTTAGGTTTCAGGGAGACAATTCTATAGAGAGTGATTTTTCTAAAGAAGTTCAAAAAAGAAGGCAGGCTATTCCAGACACAAGGAACAGACACAAGGCATTATGCTTTCTAATGCTTTCTGTGCCTTTGCCATTAGAAAGCATGATGCCTTCAAGGGAATGACACGTCACTGCACAGAAAAGGGGATGGAGGGTGGCTTTAGCAGCAGGAGCCTGGGAAGCTAGGGAGAGAGGCAGGGCCTGCTGGGCCAGACAGAAGAGCCCAAGTAAAGGGGATAATAACAGGAGCTTGATTACTATTTGTGTGCTGGGCAGAAGGATGAACAAAGAGATACATGGACAGGAAATGTGTGAAACCCTCGGGGTGGTACATAAGACCTTCATCACGTGGCCCTGGCTGGCTCACTCCCTCTACCCGTTCCTGTTCCAGCCCCAGTTACATCAGACAGTCCTTCAAATGCACGGTCTTCTCGCTGATCTCCTTGCACTTGCTGCTCCCCCTGCGTCATATTGAATGCCCGGCCTGCCTGCTCCCTTCTGCCTGGCTTAGACCTGTTCTTCCTTCAGGATACAGTGTGGCCATCACCCCCATTGTCAGGTCTTCCCGGCCATCCTATTAGCACCGCCTCCCCAGGAATCGGTGCTTCCCTTTGGTGTCCCGCCCCTAGCACAGAGCCACTGCTCAGTGGTTGTTTTTGGAATTCCTGGTTTTCTATCTGATTTAGCAAACACTAAAATACAGCTTACAGCCCTTGGCTCAATAGATAGAGAGTAGGCCTGCAGACTGAAGGGTCCCAGGTTCAATTCCAGCCAAGGGCACATGCCTGGGTTGTGAGCTCGATCCCCAGGAGGGGGCATGCAGAAGGAAGCTGATCAATGATTCTCTCTTATCATGGATGTTTCTCTCTCTCTCCCCTTCTCTGAAATCTCCTTCCTCTCTGAAATCAATAAAGAAATATATATTTTAAAAAAATAAAATACAGCTTACATACTGGGCACTGTCCCAAGTGAATCCTCACAACAGCCGATGAGATAGGTACTATTGTTGCTGCCATTTGACACATGAGAAGACTGAGCTTGCTTAAGGTCACTCAGCAGAGAGGGAGGCTGGGAAGGCCCCTCTGTGGCCCTGCTCCCCTGGGGTCGAGGTGTTGGGAGCGAGCAGAGTTGAGGCAAGCAACTCAGTCTTAAGGAAATAGAATTAAGTTCCTTCTAGCAGAAGTTATTCGGTGCCCTGAGGGCTTGGCCAGAAGATAAGATTAACCTGGGGCTTAGCATCTCCTGTCTTCCTGCCTCTTCCCCTTCCTGACCCTCCCCCCCTAGATAGCCCAGCCTTGGAATGTAGCACCTTGGAATGTTAACATCTTTGCAACTTCCCCTTCCTGACCCTCCCCCATGGACACTGCCAGGGACCCCTCTGATGGGCGGCCCTGCCCCCCTTTGTCTCTGCTGTATAAATACAGCCATTTCAGAGAATCAAACCGAGGCTTGATCAGAACCTTGTCTTGCCTCCATTCTTTCGCGTTCCTTGTTTGATTCTTTCTCTTAGGTGGTTCCTGCGTGCCTCCCGTTGTTGTCCCGCGGGTCGGGACAAAATGGCGCCCAACTCGGGGTACTTCTGAGAATCTCTAGCGAGAACGTCTACCGGAGAAGCCCTGGCCAGGCACCCCCAGAGTCGCCGCGAGGACCCGCGAGTGAAGACTCAGCACTGGATCACCACGGTCCGCCCGCCGTGAGACAGATCGGAGTAAAGGTAGGTAGATGACTTTTCAAACAAGATTTCAGAACATTTCACCCCTTTTTTTTGCTCGATTGTTATTATTGGTTCTCTCGGTTGGTTTCTTCCTGCCCACTAATAAGCACTCACTTGCCGATCTGGGGAAGAGTGAAAGGTACCCATTTCCGGCTGTGAGAACTCCGATTCACTTGAACTAGTACCGTCTCCCGGTTTTCTTGCCGAGAATCCTCTCCAATTAGATCTACTCTTAAAACCTTGAGCTTGCTTTGAACAAAAGGTCGTTCACCTTTCAGACTCAACCACGGGAGACCTGCGCGCCTGAGGAGGGCAAACGGGGTCTCCCTGTCTGTGAGGATCCGTGTAGGCGGATTATACCTACCGACCGTTTCACGCAAGCAAGGGAGTAAAGGGTAGAGTCGAAAAGAGAGTAATTCCGCCTGAATTCCTGGGTTGATGAGAAAATTCAAGCTGACCTGGCACGGGGTTTATACGTCCCGGAGGCTTACGTGGAGAAGGAATCTCTTTGAGAGCCATCCAATCGACCAATAATGGGGAATGCTTTAAGTTGTCATGAAATGTTCCTTGACGGTGTCAAGATTTCCCTCAGAACGCGAGGAGTAAGGGTTAAGAAAAAAGAATCTTAGAAAAAGGGCTCAGGGAGTCCAGTCCCCTCAGACACGAGGAATTAAGGCTAGAGAAAAAAAGAATCTTAGAAATGAAAGTGCTCTTTAGAGTAAATGTTGAAGTCTATATGTTTATGTGATCACAAAATAATGTTTTTTGTTGAAATTAGAATCTTAGTATATGTATGGAATTTAAAATCTGTAATAAGTGGAACTCCACTGCTGAAACTACCGCCTTGTTTAAAAATTATAAGAAAACTCACAGGGAAATGCAAATCTTGACCAAATTGGGTATTAATTATTATTTCAGAAAGCCAAAAAGGAAGAAAAAAATTGAGATCTGTCTATCTTTTAAGCATGAAAAGAAATTCAGCCAGATCTGTTGCTGATGCTTCCCCTGAAGTAAGCAGAATATGGGGGAAGGGAGAGACATGAGGCGATCCAATATAGAAGCCTGCTCTCCTAGTATATTAAATTAAAAATTTCCTTTCTCGCCATAAAAAAGTTTTAAAAATTTAGAAATACGTCTGGGATATCTGTACATGTGTAAAGAGAAAGCTAGTATAAGACTAAATGTGCGCACGTCCGATTTTGGATATTAGATAAGTCTTGAACTGGCCTTAACTCTTTACAAGAGCTACAGAAATGAAAAACCCAGAACTGATTCTTTTTCCTGAGAAAAACAGTGAAAAAATCTTCTTGAAAGAAATTCAAGCTAATTCCAGCAACAATATTCGCATTTCCATAATAAGAAATAGTTTTCAAAATGCTAGTGAACCTTTTTTAAAAAGTTAATTTTTAAGGCCTTCAAGAAAATAAGTAAATTAGTCTCTGTCATAGAATTTATATTAATCCTATCCTTTGGCCCCTGGGCTTTTCGGAGGTTAACAGATTTTGTAAAACAACACATTGACAGCATCTTGGCCAAACCCATCCAGATACATTACCACCGTTTAGCCGTAGCTGATCATGAGCAAGATTTTGAACTTTACCATTGCTCCCTCCCTGCGGGGACAGCATGATGACCAGAGGAATGCTTACCTACTCCTCACTGGGAGAAAGGTATGGGTACCGATATGGGTGCAGAGCAAAGCATTGCAAGGGAAGGTCCAAAGAGGTTGGTATCAATACAAATCCAATCGGCTCTGCCTCTCCTCCCCAAAAGATACCAAGAGCCGCTAACACTGGTGGGCCTGGGAAGCCCACGGGAGGAACCAGGTCACTACTCCCCCAATCGGTTAAGGCCCACCTTCAATTAAGACAAAGGGAGGAGAGCAAAGCATTGCAAGGGAAGGTCCAAAGAGGTTGGTATCAATACAAATCCAATCGGCTCTGCCTCTCCTCCCCAAAAGATACCAAGAGCCGCTAACACTGGTGGGCCTGGGAAGCCCACGGGAGGAACCAGGTCACTACTCCCCCAATCGGTTAAGGCCCACCTTCAATTAAGACAAAGGGAGGAGATGTTGGGAGCGAGCAGAGTTGAGGCAAGCAACTCAGTCTTAAGGAAATAGAATTAAGTTCCTTCTAGAATTAAGTTCCTTCTAGCAGAAGTTATGAGGTGCCCTGAGGGCTTGGCCAGAAGATAAGATTAACCTGGGGCTTAGCATCTCCTGTCTTCCTGCCTCTTCCCCTTCCTGACCCTCCCCCCCTAGATAGCCCAGCCTTGGAATGTAGCACCTTGGAATGTTAACATCTTTGCAACTTCCCCTTCCTGACCCTCCCCCATGGACACTGCCAGGGACCCCTCTGATGGGTGGCCCTGCCCCCCTTTGTCTCTGCTGTATAAATACAGCCATTTCAGAGAATCAAACCGAGGCTTGATCAGAACCTTGTCTTGCCTCCATTCTTTCGCGTTCCTTGTTTGATTCTTTCTCTTAGGTGGTTCCTGCGTGCCCCCCGTTGTTGTCCCGCGGGTCGGGACATCGAGGGGATGTTGAGCAGCTCCCGCCTGCCAGGGCGCAAGCCCACTGTGTGAACTCCATCACATCCAGGGCAGGACCGGGGGAGGGTGTCTAGAACGAGTCCTTTTTTTTCCAATGGACACATGGAAGGACACTATACAAAGGTGAGAAAAGATGCCTTGGCCCATAGGAACACCTCCTCCAGGCAGGAGGCCGAGAGGCACAGGACCTGGCATGTAACCATACTCACTGTGGAGCAGCAGAACCCGGTCCTGGGCATCGATCGACAGCTTCAGCTGACCTGAGGGTATAACAACAGAAACAACTTCACCTCGTTTCATTGGGTGAAAAGTGGGGTCACAGTGACGGGAACAGTTTTTGGTTCATGTGAAATGACTCAAAACCCCACACAGTCTCTGGGTCGTCAGGGCACTCCGGACCCCCTAGAACAGCCTCTTCACCCACATCAGAGCCCCGCCTGCAATACCTCCAGCTGTGGTTCTCCGGCCTCGACTCCACACCGCTCTAGGGATAGGGAGCTCATTGCTTCAGAAGGTAGCCCAAAACAAATATCAGGTTACTCTCACAGACACCCAGCGGCCCTCCAGCATGGACAGAGGACCACGCTCTTCTTCCTCAAAGACATGTTGAAAGATATTCTCTTAGTGTAATAAACCCTCCTGGGAGCCTCAAGAAGCTGCTGAACTCAGCCCACCATTGTGGAGGCAACGAGGGCAGGCAGGACCTCCCAGCCTGCAGCCACCCCGCACGTCCACCTGACAGCCCTGGCATCTGCTCCATCCAGGACAAGGCTGGCTAACAGTCGCCTACTTCTGCTCGACCCCTTTCAGCGACGAGGAGCTCACTTCCTGAAGCGGGAACCCTTTTGATTTTAAGATAGCTCTGCTTGTCCATCTTTGTTGAGCCAAAAGTGGCTTCTCGGTAATTTTCACTGACTGAACCTCATTCTGCAGCCTGGGATCGCTCCTCTAGACCAAAGGCTAATGTCCTTCCACCGTTCCTCATGGCAGTGTGAGCCATCCCTCACCATCCACTGCCCGTCCCTGAACCTGCCCCCAGGGGACTGGGATGGTGACTGGGCTCGAACTTCATTGCTGGTTGGAGGAAGGCAGCTTCATGCCTCATCACTCTGCAGTCACCCACCAACCACTGTGGCCTGGCCACCACCTGCTCCTCCGTCTTCAAGGTGTTCAAGCTACAAGCCCAGCAATCCCCGCTCCAGTGATGTGGGTTCCTATCTCCTCCCATCAGCAATCCCTGCTGCTCTCCTGCCCAGGACACTGATCTCAGAAGCCCGAGAGGCCTGTTCTAGTTCCCGCACTAACGAATCTCCTCTCTCAGAGCCTCTTTCAGAGCCTCCGTGTCCAGGGCAGCGAGGTGGAGCTAATTAATGACAGGGTTATCGCACGCTCTGAGCTGTGTGGGGATCAGATAACACTGGAGGGTGAGGAGGTCCCGGGATGAAAGGCGCCACAAGAATCCAGGGTATTATTAGCTCAAGGGTTGAGCAATGACCACTTTGGGACTCCTGAACGCTGGGAAACTCCTACAAAAACTGTGCGATCTGGTGTGGGATGGAGAGGGAGGTTGGAAACAGACCAACAGGCCAAGCAATCACCGGTTGGATCTCATCAACCCAAAGGCATCTATGTTTAGCACAAAACATTTTTTCTGAAACTGTCACCAGTGCAAAGCCAGCTCTGGCCCCAACATGTTTGCCTTTCGAAAGGCACGAGAACCACTGTGCTGATCACTCCTATCACCTACTACCACCGGCCTTCCCCAGAAACCAGCATCGAGGACTCTCCCCACACAAGTGGTCACTGATTCCATACAACAGACACCTGCAGGAGTCCTGAGGGAGTGGAGGCAGATCTGAACAGCCCAGTGCCTGCCCTCTGGGAGTTCACAACCCGGGGCTAGGTCAGAGGCCTAGGCAAGGCCAAGGGTGGGACTGAAGAGGAGGCAGGCCTGGGGTGAATCTGACTCAGAAGTCAGGTGAGTGTGCATCTCTCCATGCAGCTCCCCTCAGGGCCTGACAAGCAGGTCTCTTCAGGAAGTCTCTACACCCTGTGACAGCAGAAAAACCAAACCCAACACAGGAGGCTCCAAGCCCCAGGACAGGGCACACCCTACTTAGCCCATCCCAGCTGCATAGATAAGGGCAAGATGAAGAATGAAGCACTTCCCTCCTCCTTGCCTGGCCCCTCTGTCTTCCCCACAACAGCCAATTCCATCAAACATCTGAGGCTCCTGCCCTGGCTGGGTGGCTCAGTTGGTTGGAGCCTCGTCCCATACACCAAAAGGATGCAAGTTCGATTCCTGGACAGAACACATACCTAGGTTGTGGTTCAATCTCCAGTCAGGGCATGCATAGGAGGCAACTAATCAATGTTTCTCACCTCTGTCTCTCTCTCTCTCTCTCTCTCTCTCTCTCCCAAATCAATGAAAATATATCCTTGGGTGAGGCGGGGGGTGGAAATCTCTGAGGCTCCTGAACTTCTCATTTGGCATGCCCAGCAAAGGAAGGCTACTTGCCCTGGGCCTGGGCCCAGAGTGACCAGGGTGGGCCAAGCCAGAAAGTGAAGACTAGAACTCTGTGCCAACTCCAGCACTGTTTCCTGTGGACTGTGCATGCCATCTAGAACACTCTCAGCCCCCTATGATGCACCACTGCATCTGCCAATGCAACTCAGGGGTTCAGGAGCAGAGAGAGCCATCAGGCACCAGACAATGTGCCACAGCTTTGCTCAAGAAGCCAAGAGAAGGCCGAAGAGAGGGCAGGCTCCAAGGAATGTACCCAAGTCTAGAAAAATAAATCACTAGGAGAAGGGACCTTCAGCTGCTCCAGGTACCAGCTAGTCAAGCCCTTCACAAGTTCCCACTTTCTCCCCAGGCTTGGGACTCAAGGAACAGGAGTTGGAGATCAGGGCCTGCCCAGAGGTGGGGTCCTTCTGAGCCCCCACTTTTGGACTGGAACCATAACGGCTTGCTCCTCAGGAACAGAATTAGCCAAGATGAGATATAGTTTCTCAAAGGATCGCAGCTCAACTTCAAACAGTCTCCATCCCTAACATTCAACTAAGATTATTCCAGATTGCTAGCGACCTCAAGCACCTGAGAGAAGAAAAGAAAGACCTTTTTGAAGGAAGATAATCATCTCAGGTCTACATTTAAGAAGAAAAAGAAAAGCTCCGTAATAGACACAGCACACCGAAACACAGAGAAACAGAAAGACCGGGAGAAACAGGATGGAAAAAGATGCCAAGCATTTATGAGACAAAAGAAGGCTGGGTGGCTATGTTCATGTCAGTAAAAGTAAAAGTTATCTCCACGAGAAATAAAAAAGTTCACAACAATAAAAGACTTCATAATAATAAAAGGCTTCGTTATAATAAAAGCCTCAATTCACCAGAAAGATAATAATTCTAAGTTTGTGTGCTCTTAATATTTCTTCAAAATATATCAAAGAAAAACTGACAGAACTATAATGAGAAATAGACAGACAATTATAGTAGGAATTTTAACATGTCTCTCTCGGTAACTGAGAGAACAAATGTGGGGGAGGGGGAGGCCGGAAAGAAAATAAAATATTTGAACAACATAATTATCAAACTTGACCTAAAGCTGACATCTACAAAGAGCCCTACATCCACCCACTGCAGATCTTTTCAAGTACATACGGAACATTCCTGAAAACTGACCATGTGCTGAGCCATCAAAAGACTGAAAGGTTGCAGAGCATGTTTTTTGAGCAAAATCTTGTATAAGATAATGAATAAAAAGATTACTAGAAAATCCCCAATTTTTGGAAATTAAGAAATATACTTCTAAATAACCCAAAGGTTCAAGAAAAAATGACTATGAAAATTGGAAAATATTTTGAACAGAATAAAAAGAAAAGAAAGCTACTTATCGCCCTAACTGGTTTGGATGCTCAGTGGATAGGGCATCGGCCTACAGACTGAAGGGTCCCAGGTTCGACTCCAGTCAAGGACATGTCCCTTGGTTGCGGGCACATCCTCAGTGGGAAGTGTTCAGGAGGCAGGTGATGCATGTTTCTCTCTCATCGATGTTTCTAACTCTCTATCCCTCCCCTTTCTCTCTGTAAAAAATCGATAAAATATATTTTAAAAAAGAAAGCTACATAGCATCAAACACGAGGCTTCTGGAAAAGGAACTTGTATCTAGAATATATAAAGAACTGTCAAAACCCCACAATTAGAAGGCAAATAGCCCAGTTTAAAAAATGGACAAAGGATCTAATCAAACTTTTCTCCAAAGAAGATATACAAATAGCCAATAAGTATATGAAAGCTGTTCAGTATCACTGATCGTCAGGGAAATGCAAATCAAAACCACAAGGAGATACCACTTTATACCCACAGGATTGCTAGAATCAAAGCCAGTTAATAGCAGGTGTTGGTGAGGTTGGAGAAATCAAAGACCTCAGACACTGCTGATGAGAATGTAAAATGGTGCATCCGCTTTGGAAATGAGTTTGGCAGTTCCTCAAACAGGTAAACCTAGAGTTACCATTTGACCCAGTCACCATTCTACACCTAACCTGTTTTCCCGAAAATAAGACAGTGTCTTATATTAATTTTTTTCTCCCAAAGTTGCGCTAGATCTTATTTTCAGAAGATGTCTTATCTTTCCATGCGCTAGGTCTTAGTTTCGGAGGTTGTCTTATTTTCAGGGAAACACCGTAGGTATGTACCCAAAAGAACTGAAAACATTTGTCCACACGAAATTGTGTACAGCTATAAAAAGAACATTATTCATAACAGCCAAAAGAAAGAAATAATCCAAATGTCCACCAACTAATGAATGAACAAACAAAATGTGGTCTACCTATACAATGGAATATTATTCAGACATAAAGACATGAATGAGAATTCCCTCTGTGGTCCGGATCTGCCTCGTGCTTCACCAGTGTTTGGACAGAACAGACCCACGGACGCCCTTTCCAGCTTCCGGCCACTCTCCTGCACCTTATGCTGTCACCACCTTCAAAACCACCTCCGAGGACCAGCCAACACACCGGTTTGTTTGTTTGCTTTTTCCCTGTACCTTAACTCCTTATTGCTGAACAAACATGAGCTCCCAAATTCGTCAGAATTATTCCACCAGGTGGAGGCTGCAGTCGCCTGCCTGGCCAGCCGGCCTCTGCGGGCTTCGCACACCTCCTCTCTCTGGGCTTCTATGTTGACCCAGAAGATGTGGCTCTCGAGGGCATGGGGTGGAGAAGAAGGGCGAAGGCGCTGAGCATCTCTTAACATTGCAAAACAAGCGCGGTGGCCGCATTCACTTCCAGGACACGCTGAAGCCTCCCCAGGATGAGCGGGCAAAACTCAGGCTGCCCTGGAGGCCGCCCTGGCCTTAGAGAGGAGCCCGAACCAGGCCCCTTTGGAGCTGCAGGCCCTGGTTCTACCCCATCCCTGTGACTTCCTGGGGAACCACTTCGGGGGGGGGGGGGGTTAGCAGGTGAAACTCATCAAGAAGATGGGCGACCACCTGACCACCATCACGGGCTGGTCGGCCCCCAGGCTGGACTGGGCGAGTCTCTCTTCCAAGGCTCCCCCTCCAGCACGACCAGGAGCCTCTGGAGCCCGAGGCCTCTGAGGGGCCCCTCTGCATCCCCTGGTGTCTGGCTTTTACCTGAGCCTCTTCCCGAAACTAATAGCCATTCTTTTAGCCACCCTGAAGCCTCTTCCATGCGCTGGACCAAATGAAACAAGAAAGCTTTTTGCAGCAAAAAGTGCTGCGAAACATGAGTGGATCTTAAAAATATTATGCTGAATGAAAGAAGGCAGTCACACACAAAAAAAAACTATATACAATCCTATTTATATGAAATGTCTGGAATTGGCTCATATGTCCAGACAGAAAGTAGATTAGTGATTGTTTAGGATTGTCCAAGAGGGGGAAACTGGAAATTAGGGGTAATAAACTGAAGGGTACAATGTTTCTTTTTGGAGTGTTAAAAATGTCCTAAACTTGACTGTGGTAATGGTTACACAACTCTACAAATATACCAAAACCCATTTAATTGTACGCTTTAAATGAGTTAATTGTATATAAGTTATATCTCAATAAAGCTATTGAGACTTTTAAGAGCATATTAGCAAATATACTAATAGCATTAAAAGATATAATCCTAGGTGTAAATCAGTTATTTTTTATGTTATTAAAAGATATAAAAGGATTATAGATATAAAAGGGGGAAAATAACTGTTTTACACCTAGAATGGCTTCTTCAAATTGCATTGTCTCATAAATAAAAACCCCTCTGGAGTAGATGGGTTCTAGCCCCAGTTTATACTCTCCACCCACCCGAAGCCAGGTCACCTCCTGAGAAGGCCGTGAAGGGCCAATTAACATTACCTGAACATGACCTTATTGGGGAGCAAGGGTTTATACTCCTGAGGGTGCACCCCAGTATATAAGCCACTTATACCACAGCCCTAGCCGGTCAAGGGCACATGCCCAGGTTACAGGCTTGATCCCCAGTAGGGGGTGTGCAGGAGGCAGCCAATCAATGATTCTCTCTCATCATGGATGTTTCTATCTCTCTTTTCCTCTCCCTCTCTGAAATCAATAATATATATTGTCCCCATGGTTCCAGAGAAACTGGAAATGTAGTTCCCTTTACATACTTTTGCTCAGGAAACTACCAGCGAGGTGGTACCTTCATCTGGTTCATTCAGGACAGAGCCAGGCTAGCTGGGCTACCTGCCAGGCTGGGTAAAGGCAGGGAACAGAGGAAATCTTAGCCGTGGTTTTCCCGTTAAGGGAGTCCATGTTGACGACTCACACTGACTCTGAATCCGTAGCTTCCACACTTGCCTGATCGCCAAAGTGCTTCTGTGGCTTTTTTACATTTTAGATCCTCGGGCTCCACCCCAGACTAGTGCACCGGGATCTCTGGGGGAGGATCCTAGGAATCTGTGTTATCTGAACAGGCTCCCCAGTTGATTCTGATAACTGGCCAGGTTAGTATCCACTGATCTGAATCTCCACTCGTGAGTAGTCAAGCCAAGATCATGAAGAAAGCCAGCCGCCTGGAAAAGGGGTGGCTTTTGTCATGGAAACAGAGTCATTGCGTCAGGAAACAGGGGAGAACTTCTCCAGTGTCACTCCGTGTCCCTGGAGAGATTGGAGAGGAGACTGCACACATGGTTCCCGCCTGCCCCCTGCACACTCAGACCAGTCACTCACAGTAGGAACCTTCCCTGTTACCCATCTGACCCAGCCCCGAGGCCATGGCTGGGCAGGGCACCCCTCCCTGCTGGGCTAGACCCTCCCCAGCTGCCTAGATCTGCTGGGAGATTCATTCCATAGAAGCACGGGGACGGCCAAAACAGGTTTGGCTCAGAGGATAGAGCGTCAGCCTGCGGACTGAAAGGTCCCAGGTTCGATTCTGGTCAAGGGCATGTACCTTGGTTGCGGGCATATCCCTAGTAGTGGGTGTGCAAGAGGCAGCTGGTCAATGATTCTCTATCATTGATGTTTCTAACTCTCTATCCTCTCTTCCTCTCTGTAAAAAATCAATAAAAATATATTTTTTTTTAAAAAAAAGAAGCATGGGGACGGATGCCAGTCAATTTTAGTTACAGCATACCAGTAAGAAAAAGAAATGGGCTGCAAAACTGTATTTACAATATGACCTCGATTTTGTTAAAATTAGACACAGCTTCCCCCATACACACAGAGAAAGAAGTCTGGGAGGATACACGTTAATCGCCAACACGTTAACAATGGCTTTTTTTCTGGGAGGTCAGGTTACAGGTGGTTCTTTCCACTAAGTTCTCAATCATGAATGCAACTTGCCATGTTCATACAGAAGAAAACACATAGTTTTACTTTTTTAATCAGGACACAGCCCTCGGATACTTTCCTGGCCCACCAACTCAGATCATCCTGGATGTTCATTAACCACATCCCAGTCAGGTTAATAGGATTTGCCTCCAAGAGTTGGAAGGACTAAATGAGATCATGCAGGTAAAGGACTTGGTACAAGGCATGACACATGATAAGTGCTCAACAGATGGTGGCTAGTTAGTTAACCTAGTTATCCTCCACCAGCTGGACCAGTGAGGTCCAGGGGGCCAAACCACAGGCCATTTCTAGGGCCAAGACACTGTGTTTCCATCACTTCTTCTGCTCCTGGAGGAAAAGGCAGGCTGAGAAGAGCCAAGTGTGCGGCCAGGTAGCTTGAGATCAGAGAGAAGGACTGGCTCCTTGGGTGCTCTGTCTTTGAATTCTGAGCCAAGTGCAGCCATGGTGCAGTAATTGCCCCAACCTTCATCCAGAAAAGTGTAGAAGGTCCCGGAAGGCCTGTGCTCAGGTACCAGCTCTGTCACTGGCTCACAGGGCAACCTCCCTCTTTCTGGATCTCAAGTCTTCACAGGGGAAACACAGCACCCTCTCCACCAGGAGCTGCAGAATCAGAGGAAACCAATGGAGAGCTGCATACCAGGACAGGGCTGCCATCTTTCCCACAGCTACCTGGAAGGCCAGGTTTGTCCAGTTACCCGGGAGACTGGGGAACAGCAGCCATCTGCTCCTGTCTTTTCACCCTCAGCCCCTAGGACAGCCCTATGCCCCTGTCCAAAGCCTGGTCACGCCTGAGGAGAGAAAGCTCGCGCCTCTGCTGTGGGTCAGACATCAGAGCACAGCCACACTGTAGTGTAGCTTCCCGGGGGAGCCCCCAGGAGCCGCTGGGCTGACCCCCCAGAAGACCCTGGAGATGTAGTAGCAAGGCCTTGATTAAACCCTGAGCTGCTTACGAATGGGAACTCAGGTGGCGACAACCTGGGCCTCTGAGAGATGAACTGGGGTCTGATTATTCCTGCCAAGTGAGGCAGAACCAAATGCACTTGGCACTGTGGCCGGGCAGCAGGTGGTGCCCAGCGGCTGCCCCGCCTGAGGCTGCGCCTGCGCCCCTCCTGGGCAACCTCAGGGGGAAGGGGCCGGAGAAGGTGCCCCCCGTGGAAGGATCGCCTGCTCCCAGCCTCACCTTTCACCACGAGCGCCCTTCCGGGGCGCCCCGCGGGGCGCCAGGTGCAGCCGGCACTTACCGAAGGTGGAGAGGTAGAAGGACCAGCCCGGCTGCGCGCGCCGGCTGCCCAGGGAGACGCGGTGCAGGGAGTGCTCCATGGCCGCGGCCGCAGGCCCGGCCGGACCGCCGGTAACCGGAGGCGTCTGTGTTGTCCGCGGTCACCGAGGCAGCGGGCTCCCCGCCCCCCGCGCAGCCGGTGTCTCGGAGGCGGGAGCCCGGGGCCCTGCGGGGCTGGACCCAGACGCGCGTTTGAACCGGCGGCGCGCCGCGCGCTGATTGGCCCGCGCGGTTTGAATGGGGCGCTTTCCACCTGACCGGGCAGGCCGGCCGGCCACGGGCTGCAATGGCACCGGCAGCCACGGCGGCCTGGACGGCGGTCCTCCGGGAAGGGAAGCCCGCAGGACGGGCGGCCACGCCAGGGCTCCCCGCTCCAGGACCTCTCCTAGGCTGCCCACCCGGCCACGCTCGGCCTGCTTGGCCAGTTCCCCCAGGCCAGCCATTAGCCAGGTTTGCTACATGCTTTTGAAGCTCCGACCTGTAATTGCCAGAACTGAGCACCCTCCCGGCCCCGGAGACTTTGGGAAAGTGCGTGCTCTCCACCCCTGGATGGACCCACCCGCCGGCTGGTAGCGCCATCCCAAACCCTGCCCTCTCCGTCTCCCTCTGAGCCTTCCCTGGAAGGAGCACAGGCTGGCACGGGGCCAGACCAGGGCTGCTTGCTCCAGCCAGCCTCACGGTCCCTTTGGTGCCCGGGGACAGGAGGACGGGCTCCCAGAATCTGAGGGGACAGAGATGCCCAGGACGCAGAGAAGGAGGCAGATGCTTTCCATGCCCAGGGCCTGCTGCGAGGAGGCAGAGCGGGAAGAAAGGTCAGCTTTGTCTGCAAACATTCATGGGGCGCCTCCTGGGAGCAGTTTCACACCAAGACATCTGCTCTGCAAAATCTAGACTATCGCTGCTGTGGGAGGGAAAGCCGCTAGTCTTATAAGTCTAAAAATGGGAAGGAAGTTGCCAAATGGATATCTGTGGCTCCCTGATGCATGCTCAAGGCAGGGTTGGGGGATGTAAGAGAGAAAGTGGGGGACGGGAGGGAGTTATATATAATTGAGTGCCAGGGCCCAGGGCCTAAGCTGGGCAATTGACATACATCGTCTAATTTAATCTTCGTGGTGACCCTAAAGAAGCATGAGCCCCCATTTACCAGGGACAAATCTGAACCTCAGGCAGAGGAGTGGATGGCTTGGCAGAGCTGAAATGTAAACCCAGGCCTGTCTGCCCCAAAGACCATCCTCCTTCTGTTGTTCCTTGGTGTCCATACCTGCCCCGTGGCCAACAGCAAGTGGAGGCAGCAGGCCTGCCTTCCTGATGCGGGTAAGGAAATTAGATGCCCTGGCGCCGGCTGGCCACCAGCAGGGAGCGGACACTGGAGAAGGAACCCCGAAATCGGCAAACTAGTGGCCAAGTGCCACAGCGTCACATAAAGAACAGCAGGTTGTCTGAATCCTGGCACTGAGTGAGCCGTGCTCTGATCTTCCCCCAAGCCTCCCCTCTGAGCACTGTCCTGTCCTCAGCAAGGGCAAGCCAGTCCCCCCCTGGCCGAAACCCAGTGGCAGGTAGACTTACCTGCTCCCTGGACTTGACTGTGCCTGATCTTACTCAGTGCCAGGACTCAGACAACCTGACTGTGCCTGATCTTACTCAGTGCCAGGACTCAGACAACCTGACTGTGCCTGATCTTACTCCTGGCTGGAAAGCGTGAGTCCAAGCATCCTTCTGTGCAGGGAGGTATCCTGGCCCTGGCACTCCTCCCAGCCAGGGCAAATGCCCATCCTCAGGCTCAAGCCACAGGGTGCAGACAGAACATTGAGGTGCGAGGGGCCGTAGACCTGCAGGAGCAAGATGGGAGCATGGCTAGCCTGGCCGGAGGATGCCCCCTGAGAGCGGTGTTCTCTCCCGGGAGGAATTCGGAGGTCGGCAGGAAAGGAGAGAGTGCTGTGCCCGGGACCACTGGAGAGCCCGCACCAGGGAAGCCATGAGCATCCTGCAGATGAGGGGACCCATCTGTAAATGGCCTGGAGGACCACAGGGCACTTCACCCCCACTCAGGACAGAGGTCCCACTGCCTTGCAAGTCCCTCCTGACTCCTTCAGCCCCTTTCAGCAACTAACCGATTCAGAGACCCACTGCCACTCTGATCCTGATCTGACCTGTGTGATAGCACCACCTTCACCACCTTTACTGATCAGTAAACCCCTTACTTAGTAGAGCGTTAACAATGTCCTTTCTTAAAGGGGCAGGCCACTCTTTTCTCAGGACAAAAGTGAGTGGGAGCCTGGGTAGTGCCTTTCCAGGCCAGACTAGTCCTATGAACTCATACTATTGCCCACAGGGAACATTCAGAAAGGATCCCCCACAATTATGGATCTGCTTTCCACAAAAAGGCAGGGGAGCTGAAACCGGTTTGGCTCAGTGGATAGAGTGTCGGCCTGCAGACTGCAGGGTCCCAGGTTTGATTCCAGTCAAGGGCATGTACCTTGGTTGCGGGCACATCCCCAGTGGGGTGTGTGCAGGAGGCAGCTGATCAATGTTTCTCTCTCATGGATGTTTCTAACTCTCTATCTCTCTCTTCCTCTGTAAAAAATCAATAAATATATTTTTTAAAAAAGGCAGGGGAGCTTGAGGAACAAGTCTGCCTTTCTAACATGCCCAGAATACCCTAGCACCCTGTGATTGTGGGCCCCAGTATCTCTTTTCTACCTCACACCCGCCCCCCCACACACACATACATATGCATATTACACACACAATACAAACACACCACAAACATTCTGCACCCACACAGATATATCATAATACTTTCTAAGTACAAGCCGATACACCATATATGCAAACACATCTTATATATACATACATATCACTACACACAAACACACTACATACATACCTTATACATATATAAACACATGCCCCACACCATAGACATATCTTTGCACATACACAAGCCCATAGACCCGCACAACACAGACACATACACAAAATACACTTAAAAACACTATACATATAAACCATATTCACATAAAAAGATTGATTATAGGCATTTTTTAAAATATATTTTATTGATTTTTTACAGAGAGGAAGGGAGAGAGATAGAAAGCTAGAATCGTCGATGAGAGAGAAACTTGAGAGAGAAACATCGACCAGCTGCCTCTTGCATATCCCCTACCGGGAATGTGCCCACAACCAATATACATACCCTTGACCCGAATCGAACCTGGGACCTTTCAGTCCGCTGACTGATGCTCTACCACTAAGCCAAACCAGTTTCGGCAAGATTACAGTCATTTTTAAAGACTAATTCTGTATCTAGAAGAATAAGGATTGCTTGGGTTTGGAGGAAAGAGACAAATGGGATTTTTTTGGGTGCATTTTCGTCTTAGCTATTAAAGAATCTTAAAGCACCTTTAAGATATCATCTGGCTCAATAGGCAAACAAATTTTGAAAAATAATAATAAAGGGGTCTAGGGCTACCAGATGTTAGATAGTATTATAATAATGTAGTCCCATGGCTCAGTCACATAAAGCTTTTCTGTGACTATAAAAAATTTACAATTTTTAAAATTTAAACAAAGAATTTAAAATATTTATAAAATATATGGCAAATATGCACATATATACCAAGAAATCTTACAAATCAGAATGAAAAATATAAATGTACCAACATGAATAATCATTGCACAAGAGAAGAAAATAATTGACTAATGCATACATTACTTGTAACCAAAAAACAAACAAAAAAAAACAAAGGAAAAAAATCATCTGGACCCACAAATTTACATTTAGGAAATTCCTGCATTGTATTTACAGATGAGGCAACTAAGGTTCAGAGTTGTTAAATGAATCAGGTTGCTAAAGTAGCCAACGAACAGCAGAAAAATAAGAATCCAGCCAGCGAACAACTATCGAATATTATCTTTCACACCAATCCTCTTTCTCAGAGTGTCTAGGATGGGGTTTTCTTTTCAGACTTCCAGAATTCATTACTAGGATGCTGTTCTCATAATAGCCATAAGAGGGCGCTATCACAACTAATCCCTTACTGGGGGCTTTTCCCAGAGTGTCCACAACGGGGCACTATTGAAAAGGAGACTAAAAATGGCTGGAGTAAGTGGATGCTACACTGGCTTGCTCCCAGGACCAAACTGGAATTACAACTAAAATTTTGAAAAAAGAAAAGAAACAAAAAACACCCTGGATAATCAACTGAAGACTAGCTGGAGAGAACCCTGGTAACCAAGGACGGAAAGTGGAGACCGCATAGCGCCTGGCTGGACGGGCGGAGGTGTGAAGGGCTGGCTGGGCTCCCACATACATACAACCCAGCACATAGTAAGTCTCAATATAGGTTTGTCAATCACTAGTTCAGGCAGGTGAGACAGAGACAAAAGGCGATTGAGGATGGATAATGGGACTTCTAACCTGGGGACTGGTACATGCCTACAGCCTTTCTCTTCCTGGACCAGTTTTTCTCTCAAACTTAACTGACCATACTATAAACGTGTATAGATGAGGCACTTATCAAACAACATTCGTCTTTGTTATTCATTATTTAAAGTGAGTGAATATAATACTTTCTGGTTCTGTTTCCTAAAAACAAATTCTCTCAAGCCCTAGCTGGTTTTGGCTCAGTGGATAGAGCATCGGCCTGCAGACCAAAGGGTCCTGGGTTCAATTCTGGTCAAGGGCACCTTCTTTGGTTGGAGGCTCTTCCCTGGCCTGGGCCCTGGTCAGGGCTTATGTAGGAGACAACCAACTGATGTGGTTTCTCTCTGTCTTTCCCTCTCTTTTCCCTTCTCTGTAAAATATCAATGGAAATATATCCTTGGGTGAGGATTAACAAAAAAATAAAAATAATAAATAAAATGACTCTATATGCTGCTAGACATAATCATCTTCAGGCCCCAAATCCAGTCTTTGGCTCCAGTTACTTAATAAAACTATTCGTTCCCTTTCCTCTGCTTCCACCATGTGGTCATATCAGGTTATAACCAGCGTTCTCACACGCTCTGGCAGGGTTTGGGATTTAGCTTGAACCTGTGATCTGGTTCTCAGTGAGCAGAGGTAGGTAGCACTCCTCCATTCCTGGAAAGGCAATATAATAGTCTTCTGCCCTATTGCGATGAATTCTGACCTACGAGGGAATTTTCCCCACTTAAGCAGCAAACGTTTACTTATGTCAACTTAGATCAGAGACCAGAAATTACACAGTCCCTGTCCCTAAGGACTTTATAGTCTGACTAGATGACCAGTGCATGAATTTGTGCCCCAGTAAGGTCCCTCGGCCTGGCCTGCGGGATCAGGCCAAACCGGCTCTCCATCATCCCCTGAGGGGTCCCAGATTGTGAGAGTGCGCAGGCCAGGCCGAGGAACCCCACTGGTGCATGATTGGGGCCAGGCAGGAATGCAGGATGTTGGCCAGCTAGAGAGGGACCGAGGGAGGGCTCCAGGGCATGCCCTTTCCAGTTCCAATCTGCCAGACCCCAGCAGCATAGCATCTGCCCCCGATCAATGCACATCATAATGAGCTGTTGAGCAGTCTTAGCATATCATTAGCATAGTACGCTTTGATTGGTTGAGCAGATGACCAGATACTTAGCATATTAGACTATTATTATTTAGGATATGTAAACAAACAATTACAATTCAATTTTGGCAACCACACATGCTGAAGATGGGATTACCCTACAGAAAAGCGAGCCAAGGTCTTCCCAACCACCTCTCATACTTAGGTAAAACTTTACATTTTTCATTGAATTAAATACCAAATGATAGCAGGAGGCCAACAGTAGATAACGGAGACATTTCTATGTGTTAAGCAAAGCGCTAAGTGGCAACTCACAGACGTGTCCTCCAACCTCTGTCACTCCCACTGTGCAGGTAGGCAAACCAAGGAACACACAGCACTAGAACCAGGCTTGGAGTCCTCAAACACTTTTCTTAATTCACCATAACCTGTGGGAGCACATACCATGCTGCTTTCTAAATTGGCCAGAAAGACTCAGGGCCCAGAGAAGATGTGAAATTTGTCCTTTTTTTTTTTTAATCCTCATCTGAGGATATTTTTCCATTGATTTTTAGAGAGAGTGGGAGAGAGAGGGAAAGACAGAAATATCGATGTGAGAGGAAACACATTGACTAGTTGCCTCCTGCACGCGCCCCACCAGGTACATGCCCTTGATTGGAGTAGACCTGGAATAGAACCCAGGTCCCTTCCATCTGCAGGCCAACGCTCAATCCACTGAGCCAAAACAGCTAGGGTGGATGTGAGATTTGAACTGAGTTTTGAAGTATAGATGGGGTTTTCCAAGCAGTCCAAAGGGATCCAGGATCTTGGATGAGGCTCTTTTTTCCTAAGTGGACACAGGCTCTGTGGAGAATGGATAGTAATAAAGATGATGCTTTTGGAATGTTTACTATGTGCCACACCATGCTGAGAACTTTGGCTCACTGAATGAATCCTTGCGGCAGCCCTGAGATAATCACTGATTGTCCCCACTTCAGGAAACTGAGGCATTAAGGGGGTGAGTTTCTTGCCCACGGAGCTGGTACAGCCTATTCCAGAGCGAACACAGGGTATGCCACACAGGCAGGAAAACAGTCCACGTCTCAGTGAGGCTTTCATTCCAGAGGAAAGTGAGAGCTGGAAAACTACCGAGACCGTTTGCAAGAGACCGATATTAGTGTCTTTCTTTCCCACAACTCCACGGCTAACAAGGAGACTCATATGAAACAGGAAGTGATCTGAGTCCTCTCCTTTCCCAACCCTTCTTCTGTGACAGATGCTGTCCCTCACCTTCATGATTCTCAAACTTGATCCCTCCTCATGATCACCTGGAGGACTCAGAAGAAGCATGTCGGGCCATCTCTAGAATTTCTGATGCAGGAGGTCCAGGGAGAGGCCTGAGACTTGCATTTCTTTTTGTTGTTGGTGGTGGTTTTTTTTTGTGTTTTGTTTGTTGTTGTTGTTAATCGTCACCTGAGGATATTTTTCCATTGGTCTTTGAGAGAGAATGGAAGAGAAAGGGACGGACTGAAACACATCGATTGGTTGCCTCCTGCACGCATCCCCGGGCCAGAGAGAAGCCTGCAACCAAGGAACGTACCCTTGATCGGAATCGAACCCAAGACCCTTTGGTCCACAGGCCGACGCTCCATCCAGTGATGTAAACTGGCGAGGGCAAGAATTTGCATTTCCAACAAGTTCCCCAGCGAAGTTGCTGCTCTGGGACCACACCTTGAGAAACACGGTCACAAAACCACCCAAGAAACAGGTACCGCTCCCACTGCAAAGGTGAGGAAGCTAAGTTTCAGGAAGGCTAGGAACCTCGCAGGAAGCTATTCTGCGAGTGACAGCAGGATTTGAACCCTGATCTGACTCCAAAACCTGTGCTATTTGCACTACACCTGAGTTGGTGATTTAATGCTAGGATTTCCCCACGCTGTGTTTGTTCACTTTTTAAATAATTTCCATTGTTGAAAGCCAAAGTCAAGGTTCTGTGAAAGCAAAATATACATCAATGTGAGAAACATTGATCAACTGCCTCCCACACATGCCCCAACCAGGGATCAAACACAGTTGTGCCCTGACTGGGAATCAAACCAGTTTGGTGTAATCAAACCTGAGCCACCTGGGCAGGGCTGAAAGCTATTTTTAAACATCCCTGTTCATTATCGAATAATTCATCTTCTATAAATCTATACTAAATGACCCAAAATACAGCCCAAAATACTAAGTGTTTTAGCAAAAAACTTGGCCTCTAAATATCCAATATTAATAGACTAGGGAATAAGTTGTTATATCCAAATAATGGAATATTATGAAGCCATTAAAATTATTTATTTGGAATCTTTATATGTCAAAGTATTTATGATATAGTATGAAATAAAACAAAACAGAGTTAAATTCAGTTCTCAATGTTATTAAACAGTGAAAAAGACTGAAATAAACTAGAACATTGGCAATAATTGTCTGATTCTAATAATTTTCAGTACTTTCCACACTTTTATAATGAGCTTTTATTTTATTGATTTCATAGAGAAAGGAGAGGAAAAGATAGAAACATCAATGATGATAATCATTGATTGGCTGCCTCCTTCATGTCCCCTACTGGGGATCAAGCCTGCAACCCGGACATGACATACGCCCTGAGTGGAACAGAACCATGACCTCCTCATTCATAGGTCAAAGCTCAACCACTGGCCAGGCACAATGAGCTTTTATAATCAGAAAAACCAAGCATTTTCTTTCTTTCTTTTTTTAAATATATTTTATTGATTTTTTACAGAGAAGAAGGGAGAGGGATAGAGAATTAGAAACATCGATGAGAAACATCGATCAGCTGCCTCCTGCACACCTCCTACTGGGGATGTGCCTGCAACCAAAGTATATACATGCCCTTGACCACAATTGAACCTGGGACCTTTCAGTCTGTAAGCTGACGCTCTTATCCACTGAGCCAAACTGGTTAGGGTCCAAGCACTTTCTTTTTGTTGATTAACTACAACAGATATTTTCAGGACCCATCATATAGTTGAATTCCTAAATGGCCAGGCAAAGTGAAACTGAGAGTTTTAAAGCTAATATTTAATTCCAGATTACATTTCCCTGACCCTAAAATGCAAAAAATAAGAGGAAGAAACATGTGACAATCACTATTATAAATACAGAGAAAGAAGACTAAAGAGATACCTGTAAAATGACATCAGGGATTATTTTTGGTTGGTGCAATTATAAGGCTTTTAAAAACTTTTTAACTTAATCTTTTTTATAACATTTTCTACAATGAACATCTGCTAGTGAGTGACAGCAGGATTTGCAAAAAAAATTTCTGTGCTGTTTTTTCTTTTTTAAGCGACAACCAACAAGCAAACTACAGCACATCCATACGATGGAATACCAACAGCCATTTACAAAATGCTGTAGAAGAGTAATTAATAACACGAAAAAACGGTTTGCTATATTGGCTGACCATACTATAAACAGTATGTGCAGAATGATCCCATTGTCTTAACAACAAACAGAATGCCTACAAAGAAAACACCCTGGGAGGAAAGTTTTGCGTTTTTTTTTAATCTACATTAAACAGAAAATTAATTTATTAAATAAGAGAGAAAGAGATGAGTACGTTATTGAAAGATCCTCCTCTAAAAAGGCTTTCTAGCTCCACCCAGCTCTCATCGGTAAGTCAAACTGGGCTTCCCGGGCGGTCAGCATGGGTCCTTCCTCCTCCTTTAGACATTGTGCTTGGGTGGCACATGGGGCCCAGCAGCAAAGGTCACCCTCTTTCTTAATGGGGCAAGTGCACATCATCTAGAACCTCAAAGTAAGTCCCCGATAGAGAACAGGATCTCAGGGGGGATATTTAACCGCCTTCTTGGACTATGGGTCTGCTTACAATTAAAATATGATTTACAATCATTTGATGAAGGAAATGTACTATTTACAAGTAACACACCGTAGAATTAGACTCCCAGCCCTGGCCGGGCCTCTGAGATCATCTGAAGACAGTTTCCAGGACACAGTCTTTAGGTTGCCATGGGAACAGTGAGTGGAGGCAACAAGGATGTCGTGCTGGAGAATCTGGAGTAAACAGTTTGAAAGCCCGCTTCCCTGTTACACAATTTTAAGTCGCTTTATGGCGAGCCACACATTCTTGACGTTACATATAATCAAAGGGACTACAAAGAATAGCTGCAGAGCCAGAAGACACGGGAAGGAATAAAGATAAGCACAGAGAGGGGTATCTTCCAGCCCAAACGATGAGAGATCTACGCCACCAGAGTCAGTTCAGTCTATTTCCAGATCGCTGTCCTCGCTGTGGCAGGCGGCAGAGTTACGCACAGACGTCCGCTCCACGACTTCCTTCACGGGGAGCAATCCACATTCCTGCAGGAAGGCTTCGAGGTCCACAGCGAAGAAATCTTCGCCCAGCTGGTCAGTGACGCGAACAAAATTGCCCACCAAATCGCCCCCCTTGTAGATCAGCAGAGTAGGAAGGGCGTTCCTGGTGAACCGGCGGCTGGCCCCGAGCACCGAGCTCTTCACCCGGCAGAACTTGACAGCGGGGTACTCCGAGGCGAGGCAGATCATGCAGCCGTGCATGGCGTCGGTTCCCGGAATGCCATCCTCGTAGATGTGGACTATGATGAGGGTGCTTTTCCGTTCCTTGTCAATCATGTCTACGAACCTTTCTCCGCTGGGGATCTCAAACACCTGCCGGAACTGGGGCCCCTTATGGAGCCGCCGCTGCATCTCTTCCATCCTCTGCTTCCGGTACTGCTGCAGAAACTCTTCGTCGTCCAGGTCCCCATTCATCATGGCCATCTCCTTCAGAGTTATCTGCAGGAGAACCAGCAAGTGAGCATCCGAAACACAAACCCAACACCCGTAACAACAGTGCACGTGTACCATGTGCTTATGACGCCAGAAGCAGGCACTGAGCTCAGCGCTGTGTGTGACACTTCCCTGAATTCTTATGTTTCCCCCACTTTTTGTTATGTTGAGTTTCTTTAAATATATCTTTATTGTTGAAAGTATTACAGATGTCTCCCCCCTCCCCCCCCCCATTGACTCCCCTACATCCCATCTCTCTCCCGCAGGCCTTCACCACACTATTGTCTGTGTTCATGGGCTATGCATATATGCATGTAAGTTCCCCAGTTAATCTCTCCCTACCTTCCCCCTCCCCTCCACCTATTTCCCCCACTTTAGAAATGGGGTTCCAAGACTTGAGATCATTTGCACAATTCACGTAGCTAATAAGTGTAAAGTTAGGAATCAAACTAGATTATTTTAAAACTCAGGCTTTTAACCACTGTATTAATATTGCTTCTCAAATCCAAATAGGCAGCATCAGATAATATCACTTCACTAGCTTTGCCAATAGATTATTTTATTCATGACAATAGATTATTTTATTCATGGTTTTGTTTTTGTTGAAAAGACAACAGGACATTAGGAACTTTAAAAAGAACACCATAATCCTAACCCTGCACATACATGCACATCCCATACACACAGTACACAGTCATATGCTGAATGGCTTGTTTTTATAATAGCAGTTGTGGGGGTCAAAATTAAGCTATGACCTGCTTTTGCCAGTTAGCATTATCTATCTATCTATCTATCTATCTATCTATCTATCTATCTAAAAGCCTAAGCGACCAGCCAACCATTCGACTGGCCATCCAGTAGTTATGATGCACACTGATCACCAAGGGTCAGATGCTCAATACAGGAGCAGACACCACAAGCATGGGAACATAGAACAGACTGATGAGTCTCAGAAGGAAGGGGGAGAGGGGAGGGCGGGGAAAAATTAACCAAAGATCTTACGTACATACTAGAGGCCTGGCCTGTGCCCTCTCACAATCCAGGACGCCTCGGGGGATGTCGGAAGGCCAGTTTCAGCCCGATCCCCACAGGCCAGGCCAAGGGACCCCACCGGTGTCCGAACCCGTGCACAGGGCCTCTAGTTATATCATAAACGCTTTGTGTTTTTAAATGTTTTTTATAAAATGATCCATCATGTCCATATTTTGCTTTGCCTCTCCCCTATTTCTGGCATCCAGGCAATGTCCAGTTCTGTTGTACCTCACATAACTCAGCAGAGCAGGGACAGCATCTCTCAGACTTGTGTTGTGTGATCATGTGACACGTCGCTGCCTCAGTATGGAAGCACGGTGAGCAGTGGGCACACCGCCCTGCAGCCAGCTGAAGTTATTCAAGTGTCTTGCTTCTCCTGCTCTAGTGCAGTAAGACAAGGCCTAGCTCTGCCTAACCTGGCACAGATTAGAGGGTGGAGGCTGAGGAACCACACTCGATAAGAACAGATGTTACTGCACCGTAGCCAGCCCCGTTCTGAATTCACTGTTTTGCTTACATTCCCAATCTTCATCCCACCTCAGAGCTCTCCACTACCCGTTAGGGTCTTTGTTTGAGTCTAATGCCCTGACATCATCCTTCTGGCCAGGTGAATGGCTCCTCACTTAAAACTCTTAACGGCTTTTCCTGATCCTGGCTGGTATGCCCAGCCATGAGCTGCTTTGGGTCATAGCCAAATGATCCAGACACTCCTAGGCATTCATCTGTGGTCGGAGGGCATGGGATGACATAGAGAGGCCTTTCGATACTGGGAATACAGAGAGTCAGTGCCCTCATTCCATATTTCTTCTATTGTATTGCCTCACTGGCTTCCAGTGAAACAGAGAAACACCATGAAAAGAGCAAGAAAATCTGGCTTAGAATCCTACTTCCTATTAGCTTTTGCTAGTTGCAGGACCCTGAGCCAGTCCCCTCTCATCTCTAAGCACTGGTTTCATCATCCAATAAATGGGGATAATACCACCAACCTCAGAGGATTATTTCCGAAGGCCCAATTAAGGACAGGAAACTCACATTTACTGAGCACTTTCAATGGACCAGGCACTGTGATGGAGAGCATACCCACACGGCTCCGTGGGGCAGGGCTACGGACCTCATTTCATCAGTGAAAAGCCAGACTCAAAATGGAAGAGACATCCCCACAATCACTAGTGGTTGAGCTCAGATTCATGCCCATGTGTGTCTGAGTTATGACATGACGCTATATGTTCCCCAGCATGACAGCTCCCTGGAGGCCACATCAAACACCCCACACCTCCTGAATCATTAACCCCAGGGCAGCTCCAGAGAAGAGCCAGGGTTCTAGGCATTACCTTCCCACTGATCTTCTCCTGGAGGTCCTTCTGTTTCTGTTGCTCCTTCTCTTCATCCAGCTGGGACCTGCAGGTCAGTGACAGCTTCTTGATCAGCTTTTCCACCTCCCGACAATCCTCCTCCCTTTGCTCTGTCTCCAACTGTTTGAAGCGGCGCCAGTCATTGATCACACCTTTGGGACCTGAGTTAGGGGTGAACGCGGAGGTAACCAAGAAGAATGGGCAAGGAGTTATAGACCAGCTCACACCGGTCTAAAGCTCCCTCCATCGACTCCACAGCAATGCTCACAGAGGGCAGCGGAATCCAGGTTTGGCTTAGTGGATAGAATGTTGGCCTATGGACTCAAAGGTCCCAGGTTCGATTCCGGTCAAGGGCATGTACCCTGATTGCAGGCACATCTCCAGTAGGAGGTGTCCAAGAGGCAGCTGATCGATGTTTCTCTCTCATCGATGTTTCTAACTCTCTCTCTCCCTTCCTCTTTGTAAAAAAAAAAAAACAAAACAAAAAAAAAAACTCAATAAAATATATTTTTTAACAAAAGTGTGGGGACAAAGCAGGAGGGCAGGTATATGGAGAAACACTGTCCTCCTGGCTAAAATATAAAATAGTGCCACTTCAACGTGACAGCAATTTGGAACTAAAATGGAAAAAAAAAAAAAAAAAAAAGTCAATATGCCATTTTTAGGAATTTATACTACCAATGTACTCATACCTATGATGTACGTGTTATCAAACAAATACTAATTTGAGAAGGACTCAAACCCAGGCCAGTCTGTGTTCACTGCCGTGGTGCTATGCATACATGTTTGTATTGTGCTTTAACATGGCTAGAAGTATGCGCAGTGAAATGACAACATCAAATCTCTGGAAGTGGGGCTGGAATGAGAGGGATTTCATTAGGAGACTTCCAACTGATACATATTTACCTGACATTTTTAAACCTGTTCCCAGAGCTCAGGGATTTCCAGTACCTGTGTTAATGGAGAAGCCTTCGCCTGCCTTAGCATTTGCAGGCAGCGGACTGCCGGCCGGGGCACCGCTGCCCCTGTCCTTGTCCTTGTGGTCGTCCTCATCCTCACTGCTGCTGTAATAGTACTGCAGCTTCTCCCCCAGCAGCTTATCGTCCAGGGTGGTCATGGTGCCTGGGAGAGAGGAGCAAACATGTCAGGCTCTTTGCTGGCTTGAACCAGGCGGACTTGAATCTGAAGAGCAGGAGGAGCTCACTTGTGCTGAGATCCCACTGTTTAGAGTAGGGGTGTCGAACTCAATCAGAGAAGGGGCCAAAATCTAAAATCCAGCCTAAATCGCGGGCCGAATGGTTTACTGAACAGTCATAAACTGTCATTATGATGGAAACGCAGCGGAGTGCAGTGATGACAGCGTGGTGCGGGCCACATTGCAAGGCCTGGCGGGACGGATTTGGCCCGCGGGCCTTGTATTTGACACATGTGGTTTAGAGGACCCTAAAAGCAACTTATTTTTTTTCATCAGCAGGATCTCAACAAATCCATATCACGACTCTGTGTAAGAGGGTTAACCATCTGTTTGTGTAGAAGGTAAAACGGAGGCTCAGATAAGGGAAGTTTCTTTGTCAAACTTCACAGCAAATGGTGGAGCTGGGTTCAGGGGCCCAGGGAGGCCTGACTACAAAAAACGGAAGGTGGCAGCCACAATCTTCTGAATAAGGGACACTAGTACTTAGTAGGTGCAGTGGCTTGAAGCCTACCCACTGACTGGAGGTTTTATCTACAGAGTTAGGTATAGGTTTTCCTATCAACTAAGACTGCTGGGTAATTGAAATACTGGGTAAGCATCCTCAGGAAGATCTCAAAAAGGATCAACCGGTTGATGCTGAGTCGCTAAGTCCATCACTTGCCAGTCTGCTGCCTTCAGCCCAGGCAGCACACGGAAGGCTTAAATGGATGAGGTCTGAAGCCCTACCAACTCTGGCTAAAAGAAGGGCCCATGATAAAATTTTACTTCTTTCTAAGCTTTTAAAGGACAACAAGTGGAGCCAATATTCTGCATCAGAAGAAGCCTGGGACATTTTGAGAGAAAGGCACAGCTTAGCCCCTGGCAATCCTGCTAGCAGATCCAGCAGGGAGGGTGAAAACTGTAGCATTCTCCATGAAGCTTAGCAATACTGTTTCCTCCATTCCCCGATCCCGTTGCACTCCCTTACAAAGTGACTTGCCCACGGGACAGCGAGCTCTAGAAAGCAGGGATCTCTATCGCCCAGCAGCAGGCCTCTGCACCATTTGGCTAAGCCCAAACAGAGACAGACTGGATGGGTGGGGGGACCTGGGGACCCCAGCAGGAAGAGGGGAGGCAGGGTTAATTGAGAGAAAGAAGCAGGTGCTAAGAGGAGGGACAGAACCAAGCATAAGAGACGTGGAGGGGCCCAGGTGGTGCCCCGCGGGCAGAGAGCCACTGGGCGGTGGAGCGCTGGGTGAGGACGCGGCCCGTGGAGGGGTCCACGGAGGCGGCGGGGCTGCTGGAGGGAGCGCCGGGAGGGCGGGGCCACAGGCGGGTGGAGCACAGGGCGGACCGCAGAAGGGTTTGCGGGAGGGCAGGCGGTGGAGGGGCTCGCGGAGGGGCCAGCGGAGCCTTCGTGGGAGTCCGAGGGAGGTGGGGCCGGCGGAGGAGGCGGGGCAGGGAGATCGCGGAGACCACGGGGGTCGCAGGGACCGCGGGCCACGCCGGCGAGCCCACCACCCGTGTTCCACCCGTTCCTTCCCCGTTGACCTCAGCGCAGTTATCGGCCTAGCTGGGTCCGGACCCCTTCGGGCTGGCGGCTCCGGACACTTCGGAAGATCGGGAGCGCCCAGTCGGAGGGGAGAGAAGCGGGTCAGCACCTCGAGCACCGAGAGAAAAGCCGCCGGTGCCCGGACTGCGCTGACCAATGGGGCCGGCCTTCCGGTGTCAGGGCAGAATCACGCAGCCCAATCAGAGGAAGCCTCTCTCGGGCCGAGGGCGGGGCTACGGGTCTGACTCTGGGACAAAACACCTCGACAACAGTAATACGCTTTCGTTTTCTTTGTTTTAAATACAACGAAAAGCTGCATTATATATGCCCAGCCTTGAACAAGAAAAACATTTATTTTGTTACCTTTGACATTTTCGAACTATTCCAAATACGTATCTTAATAGACCTTATTCAAACCCGAGGATGTGTTTTTATTTATTTGAGAGAGAAAAAACATCCATTGGTTGCCTCCCATACGCGCCCAGATAGGATGAACTGCAGCCTAGGTATGTGCCCTGACGGGAATTGTACAGGAGGGCACTCCCAACAAATTGAGCCACCCAGGCAGGGCATATACTGGCATATTTTTTATTGTTCTTAAGCACATCACGTCTATTATTACAGAATCAGAGACATTAAGTACTTTTTGCCCAAAAACACATAGCTCTTGAATATTTAAACAAGCTCCATCTCCCCCCTAAAAAAGAGAGACTTGTACTTGAGCATCCCCCTCAAGGTATACCTTTAGCTAGCAATTCCATCCTGGGAGTTTATCATATAGACATACTTGCATGAATATATTACTTTTTAAAAAAGCAAGGTGAAGAATATTATGTATGTTTCCTGTCTTCTGCATAAAAACACATGAACAAATTTTTGCTTATATATGCATAAAGAAAATCACTGTAAAAAATATATATGTGTATGAAATCTTTAAAAAAGTTTCTTCTGAAGGACAGATGAGAATCAGGAGTGGAAGCGAGACTTTTATATAACAATATAATTTTAGTATAACTTTTAAAAATATATTTTTAGAGGGAGAGAGAAACATTGATGTGAGAGCAAAACATTGTCTGCCTCCTGCATGCCCTCTATCAGAGACTGAGCCCACAACCCAGGCATGTGCCCTGACTAGGAGTCAAACTGGCAACCTTTTGATTTACAGGACAGTGCCCAAGCAACTGAGCCACACTGGCCAGGGCCATTTGTGTGATTTTTAATCATCTCAAAGTATTATCTATTCTGTTCCAAAAAATATTGATCTGTAATTTTGCATTTTTTTTTAGTATTGTCTTTGTCTCATTTTGATACCAAGGTTATATTGATCCAATACAACCAGTTAGGGAGTTCCCGCCTCTATTTTCTGAAAGTTTTTGTAAATTGGTGTTTTTCTTTAAATGTTTAACAGAATTCACCTGTGACACCATCTGGGTCCAGGGTTTGCTTTGTGGGAAGGTTTTCATAATGAATTGAATTTCTTTAGTAGATAGAGGGTTATAGCCTCTATCTAGCATGGCCTCCCTGCTGGTCTGCCTCCAGCTTCAACTCGCACTCCTGCCAAAGGGATCTTTCTAATGGCTCCTGTCTCGATAAACAATTCATTGCCTCTCCGCTCCCAAGTTACCTTTCTTGCTTTGCAGTAATGAACAGAATTCCATTAAGCATGTGTGCTTTTCAATGAGCACAATAAGCTTTCTCAGTAGACGGCATTGGAGGGGCAGTGGTCAGTAGTATGTTGTGAGGACATCCAATGGAGATTTCCCTCAACCATGTGGGTCCAGTACATGTGGCCCTTGATAACCTTGCAGCCTCCGTCTGGCTCAGCAATGATTCTTCCATGAACCTCTCAACAGGGAAATTGGTACCCTGAAGATGGAGGGATAGCCTGGGGAGCAGAGGAATACTGGAGACTGAGATTTGAACATGTTAAGTTGGAGATGTTTATTAGACATCCCAATGGAGATGTTCAATAGACTGTCCTAACTAAACTGTCCTTGGTGTTGAGAATTACCACTCCCATCATATAAAAGCTCGCCAACTGGTTGCATTATATTCCTTCTGGTTGTGTTATTCCTCATTATCTACATACACCTTTTATTTACTTCTTATCTGTCCCTCCAAGTTTCACAAGGTGAGAGACTAGTTCACTCCTGTGTCCCTATTGCCTAGTCCATAGCACATTCTCAAAATTACTTGTTGAATGGGCCTCTGAAAATGGTATGGACCTGAACATTTGATGACGGATGTTTTTAATGCACCTGGGCAGAGACAGGCCCCAAACCCTTTAACATCCATATGGCAGTAGTTCCCAAACTTTTCTGCACATTGGAAGCACCTCTGGAGCTTCAAAAGGACTGATGCCTGGCTCCACCCCTAGAGATTGTGATCTCATCGGTCTGAGGTGTGATCTGGGTTTTGGGATTTTTAAAACACCTTGAGATGATTATAATGTGCAGGTTGGACCTAACACAAACTGATTAACAAAAAGAGATCCAGAGTCAGAGAAGCATGGAACAGACCGACAAACCTTAGAGGGAAGGCAGGAAAGGGTGGGCCAGGGAGGGGTGGGAGAGAGTAAGGAATCAACCAAAGAACTTCTATGCATTATTAAGTATAACCAATGAACACAGACAAGTGGGGGGGGGGGGAAAGGGGGGGGATGCAGGGTGAAAACCCGGCTTGGGGGGGGGGGTTGGGGGCAGGCTGGGAGAGGACAATGGGGGGGGGAGGGGACATATGGAATATTTTTAACAATAAGGAATAAAAAAATGTAGTCTTTGCATGATCATTACTTGGCCATTAACTAAACAGGAAATAAAACCTTCCTGGAATTTCATTTCCTTCATTATGTTGCCTCTCTTTTGCCTGGATCCTACTATCCATGGTTCTTCCTCTTCTTGCTGATTTCAGCGGTCAGTCCAGGGTTACATGTTTCACAAATAACTGTGTTCTCAGCAATGAGGTCTGGGATACTAAGACAAATTTAATCCACAATAATGTGCAGATATCTAATATGCCCCCTACAACAAATCCCATCAGTTGCTCTCTCCTACTTTTTGAATCCATCTCTTTCCCTCCATCCTCACTTTGGCCATGCTCTACAGACATGGACATGGCCTCCCTGCTGGTCTGCCTCCAGCTTCAACTCGCACTCCTGCCAAAGGGATCTTTCTAAAAACCCAAGTTGTTCAGGTCATTTAACTTCTGGGACTCCCTAGTAGTATCTTTAATATGATGTTCAACATCCTTCATAGAAGGCCCTACCTACCTCATCTAGCTGTATGACCCTGGGCAAATTTTCTAAGGACTCTCTGTTCTCATCTGTAAAATGATGGCAATGGTAATATACCTACAGCTCTTAAAACTCTGTCGGTAACATATTAAGTGCTCTAAGAGGTTAGATAAGCCATTCCTTCTACAATAACATTTATGGCTAAAATAGGTTTCAACCATTACCACCACTACCCCCTTTGGGAAGCAGAGCAAGGACAGACTTGAATCACAATTCTCATTCTACTATTGTACTTTCTAGTTTAGAGGTCCTGGGTAAGTCAACTGCTCAAATATAAAAAAAGGGATCATGACTATAGTGAAGGGCTGTTTTCTCCTCTTATCTTTGCTTGGTGAAATATTATTCAACCTTCAAAGTCTAGCCCAAGGTCATTTTTCAAAGTACCTCCCCCAGCTAACCAGAACTACCTGTCTCATGATATCCCTTTTGGAGTTTCAACACACCCTACATTGGAACATAGTTCACTGATCTGGTTATTCAGATTGGTCTTTCCTTTTTTCACACAGTGAGCTTCTGGAGAAAGGGCTCACATTTCATTAACCTTTAACCTAAAAGACCAGTACAGACAGGGGCTTCAAATATATCAGCCAAGTGAATAAATTAAACTACTCAAGGCCCACTGAAAATGGCATTTTCTGAGATTCCACAGCACTGTCTTCACACTTCCACAACACACTGCTTTGTATTAGTTATTTGTGTACTTTCTCCACTAGGAGAAATACTGTGAGTTCAATACCTTGAACTGCTATTATCTTTGTTCTCATCTGCCACTGAATAAATGACGTGACTAATCGAATTAAGGAATATTTCAATCTCTCTGGTCTATTCCTTTCAGATCCTTCCCAATGATGAATACATATATAAATCTCAACGTAAGAAATATCTGATAGCTTAGTTAAGCAAAATAATATACCAAGGAAATCAAGATAACTAAAAATGTATCAAAAACCTTAATATTGACACTGAACAAACAACTTTTAAGGTGGACAAATAATTTTATTTTGTGCATGCAAATACATGTCAAGTACTGCAAACTTTTTCCATCAATTTTCTCTCAAACACTGAAAATCATGATGCTCTATTCTGTGAACAGCCAAAGCTAATATCTCTTCACTTCAGTCCTACAGAAAAAACACACAGAATTCACTCTTCGCTATTCACTACCATCACAACCCTCATTGTTCCATCTCTGCCCTCCCCCCATATACAGGCCTTATAAGTCCTAGCCTTCCCCCACTTAATCCTATTCCTATAGCACAAAGGGAAACATTACAATTTGGAAATTCAAATTGAAATAAATGGAATAGAATTTATTCCCATATATATTCCCCATTTCATTGTACAGAATTATTTTAAATTATAGTTTTAAATAGAAGCTGAGTATATGCCTTAAAAATGAGCATTAAATCCATCTTAGAGATGGTGCCTGCTTTTTACATGATGGGTGTACACCATCTTTAATTTCATTTACATTTCAATCGAACAATAGATTTGCAAAGAAAATGTCTAATACAGACGTAAAAATATTCACACTAGAGCTTCACAATCGGTTGTACAATTGACAAACAGGCCTCTTTTCCCAAACTTTCCAGCTAAGCAAATTTGTAAAATGTAATCAATGCAACAAGAAAAACATTTCTCTTTCACTTCCAGGGAAAAGAATATGCAATAAACAGTATAAATGCAGACAGCAGTTGCTGTAAGCTAACCACGATACTCCCAAGTGGCTGTACAGTGGGTATGTGCAGTACAAATAAAAGCCACATGTGTTGTATCACAACTACAGTATAATTGTTTGCCCAGCTAAGAGAATACATGCACTTCCATGCCTTGGGTTATAAAGTGAGGC